TATAAAAGATTTGCTACTTTATCTTATAAGAAACGTCGCAAACCAAAAGATCTACAAAACATTCCACTGTAATAGCTCAACAACCTATCAAATACCTACCGGCACCTTTTAAAAAATTGATATTTCAGTAATTAAAAACAATCTTCCAAATGAAATAAAGAAATCACTAGAAAACAATATGAAACAGTCTTATCTTTTCAATCAACAACTTAAGCTGTCAGTTACAGGAAACACTGAAACCTCTTCTGTGTTTACAATCATAAGGTTTAGACAATGAACTGCCTGGATTATTTAACAATAATTTCGGCTTCATCGAAATTAAACAAAAGATTGAGATGATTTTAGACGGTCTAAGGTATAAGTGACGGATTAATATACCACCTAATTACCCTAAGACTATTATGAAGAACATATTTCAAAAGTCTCTCAAATTTCTGAGTTCGGAGCTTTCATAGAGGCACTAGTGAACAGCTATTGAAACACGTTGAACCTTGGACATTGACGCGGATTGCCACATAATAAACCTAAAGCAGTATCTATACAGCTGCCAAGATTTACGTGACATATCGTGCGGAAAAATCCTAAAATTGTTTTACACACATTAGTTTTTTTTATATTCTGGAACCCGAGTAGAGATTTATGTAGGAACATTTGAAACAATCAACGTTTCGTAATTGAAAATAAATTAGTGTTATTTTATTATCAAAAACCGTAATACCTGGTAAAGAAACAAGAGTTATACGAGCCTTACACCACAAAACTGATTAGAATCTGAATTATGTATGTTTGTTGATTCGTTTCTGTGTTCTATTAAAAAGAAAGAATCGTATTCAGCACGATAAATTGTCTTAAGGCATTTCATAGGTCATAAAACTGTAGGTTTCAATAAAGATAGTTAGTTAGTTTATCAATGTAAGACTTTGAAACTAAAAGCTTGGTTTATTCAATTTTTGAAATTGCTTACAAAGATTTAAACTCTGCTGTTATCAAACTTTGTTGTTTAAATTCCCCTTTACAATGTTGACTTATTTTTGGATCTTTTGACTGTGTTCTTGTAATCATAATTATGTGTGAACAAACTGATTTAATGCAATATGTTTTGGTATTGTCCATTGCAATGCTCATGGAATACGTAAAAGATTAGACAATGGCAATTTTTGTTTCATTTTGTACTATTTAAATATCTGAAGTATAAATCTAAATAGGAAATGGTAAATATTCAAGCAATTTTGTCAAAAATGTTTAGAAATGTCAGTAGCTCTTAAAATTCATTCAGAGGCCAAAATTTAAACAAAAAAAAATGAATGCAAAGTTCAGAAAATACGTCATCAAAGGGATCAACATACTTCAAAGAGTGGCACGAAAGAAAATGTAAATAACGGGAATGCGGGCATGGCAACATACAGGGAAGGTGATGACAAAGTCGAAAATAAAACAAGAAATATAAATGCAAAGCAAAAATACTGGCAATTATCATATAATCTTTACTTTATTTAATATGACCCGGATTAAAAGCTTTGAGGATTGATCCATGTTAAAACTGTAATGGTAATGACATAAACTCATAAATCAATTTAAAATATGTATTTTTATCAAAGTCACTGAACTAAAAAGGTATTTAATTTTGAATTAGGAGCTTTATCAGATTAAACGATTGTTGGTCACAGAAATTTATTGCACTACAATATAGATTTTAAGTAGTCATGAAATATACATTAATCGTCATTATTTATTATTGTCAGTGAAAAGAAAACTTTTTAAAAAAGCAAAACATTTAGGAAAAAGAAAGAAAAATATATATTATCTGACATTATTGAATATTTGTAACTTCTTTCTATTTCAAAGTACAAAAAAACATCTACACTCTAGTATCTTTGACATAAGGTATAGAAAGTAAACAAAACGTAATGGGTCGAAGATAAAATTCAGAAATTTCATTTTCTAAGTGATATGAATTAAAGTAGGTATTTATATGATAGATAAATCGTCTTACGCGTTTGTCCCTCGTGGACTGCTTCCATACTTAGGCAAATTAGGACAGTCTGGAGGCTCTCTGACTGAGTGTCACAAAATCAACTAGGGAATTCCACTTTCTTTTAGTCTCATTTACATCCCCCTTTATTTCTGTCGTTTTCTTAAATTGTAATTGATGTTGTTAAAGCAAAGAATTAGATATTGCCAACATAGTCTATGAGAATCTAAAATGAAATGATTAAATGAAACAAAGATTAATTATTATCACAAATCAAACAGCTGGTTATCTTCTGTCCCTCGAGATTTGACGACATTTCTCGAGAAAAACAAGATTAGCAGTGATGCTCGACTGATGGAGATCGGATTGAATTTTAAAACAATGATCCCGACATTTCTGCTTGAATGGGTAATATTTTGTAACATTTTAAGAATCAATTTGACAGTTTAATGAAAATAATCCATTGGTCTGGCATGTTTGAGGTCTTCTGGGACACGTGTTATCGTACTGGGAGAAGAAAGTATTCCATCTGTTTGTCCGAATTAGGAAATGTTTAGGCATGGAAATTAGAGGGATTTGTTACGATTTAATTCTATGATGAATTGTTTGACAAGGGCTATTAATCAATCACTGCTACTTTTGCTTATATTTCTGTGTGTTACATTTATTCTTTGAAAATTTGAAAATTTATTTTTGATAAATATGATTTTTTCTTATAAATTATATAAATGTTTCATTTGATTCATAGCTAAGTATTTGAATGTTAAAGGAAGTAAATAGTTAAACTCAAACCTAAGAGTCAATTAAACGAGCTTAATTTTTAAACATGTAATTGATATGAACTTTTACAAAACGAATTTTACCCAGAAATATTGTCCTTACAAGGTAATAAAACATTTTGATATTCTGATTTGTTGCCATGTGTGCCTATGATATAACATCAGCTTTGCTAAAAAAAGTTCAAATTGAGCTCAAGTACAGAAATATTTTAATTAAATTTAAAATAATATGATGTGTTCTGGAAAATATAATTTTGTGGCATATTTATGATACAAAGAAATAAATGTTAGCTATTTAAGAATGTTAATTTTTAAAGATCTTTTGTTTGTTGTCATCTTACGATACCAAATCATACATAAATGTTCTGATAATAATTATATTGCTTTATTCTATAATAACAGATATAAAAATATGGCATAACCATAATATAATTATCCATTTGAATAATATTTGAAAAATATCATTATTCATTTATATCATGGCTAAATTATAATGATTTAAAGCATGTAATATTAATGTCATATTATTTAATTTATGAATGAATTATTGCAATGGTAACATCAACACCGGCGAATATGTGACCATTGTAAAAGTGCACCAACTCTAATATCTAGTGTTTCGAATTATTTGGGATTTTTAATTACAATAACATCCAATTTTGAATTATGGATGAAATTGATTTACTCTTCATTGATCGATAGAAGGCTTTACCGATTTAGTTAATAAAGAGGCCAGAATAAATAAAAAAATGTCAGCAAGTCAGCAATTCTGTGATGAATTGTTTGCATTGCAGTAGAGTTATGTTGCAATAATAGCTTCATGTGCATAAAAATATATTTGCAAATCAGAGAGGAAACTATGAAAATATGTAAATGCCATACATTTATTAAAGATTCATGTAAGTTTGTATTTCACTCAATGTATTTTTCAGATGGTACTGAAAGAACAAATACATTTTATTACATGCTTTTCGGTGGTTTATTGAAATATATCAGTGATATAAAAACTGGTAATTTCACTGTTTGAAACAGTGAAATTACCACTTTGATAGCACAGCGTGCACAGAACTGGGTACCAACTTAATGACGTGACGTCGTAAATGACGCCACGTTGTATTATTATTTGGTGCGCTTTTCATTCAGTATAAGGTTTAATGTCTTTTTAAAACGTTTCTTTGCATATAATAAAAAGAAAATTTGTTTAGTTTAGTGTAAGATAGAAATATATTTCACCTTATGAACACCAAAAGTTCATATTTCACTCGTGGCTGCGCCACTCGTGAAATATACCTTTTGGTGCTCACTTGGTGAAATATATTCCGATCTTACACTGAACTAAACAAATATCCTCTATATATTACTTACTGACGTACAGGTATCTCTTTGTCCGTGAATTTGTACCTTAGATTATTGTTGAATTTGATCATAAATCGGGCATATCAATTATTCAAAACTTTGAACATATTTTTTTATTTAAAATTAAATTCAGGCACACCTTACTATTTTTATCTCATGTAACAAACCTGTCAAATATTGCCATATTATCTCATATTAATCACCAATAACAACCACGTGATTTATGACATTGCTGCATCATATCTGTAATGTTAAGATGAATGAAACAGGAGAATTATCAAAGAAATTACCAATCATAAAAAAACACAGTCGCTTTTTGAAAATCCGTTTCTGTATTATGAAAATTTCCGTCCAAATATGATTTATAGTAGCAATAAAAAACAATCCTAGCTAACGTTCATACTTTTTTTGAAATTGTAATATTTTTATCATGTACTAAACGTTGTTTTATGATACATGTACAGGTGGCAAATATAGGAGTTGTTGGATCATGAAAGAACCATTCGTAATCTGCTTAAATATGACGAAATATTGCAGACCCTGCGAAACATGGCGTTTCAGAACGATTAAATAGTAGTACAAAAAGAAGCATTAAAGGTCACTCATCACGAGCAAATTCAAACGTTTGGCAGGGCCTGTGATTGCGTCAGTTCTAGATAAAGTTGAAAATAAGTAGTAACACGATTTACGTGTGTTTTTGAATTTATAAATATTCAATTTTGACAAATATTCACTATTTCTAAAACATTTTAAAGTCACCTTAGAATAGTTCATATAATATAGAGCGAATGACAACTAGCTTGCAAAAGGGGTTTATGCCAAAATTGTGGTGTTATATTTCAAATATGTATTTAAGCAATTACGCCATATAAGTAATGACAAAACACGTGGTATGTATAATTTATCGTCTTTTATTCGAAATCATTTAATAACAAATTACCAACATATTCAACGACTTATCTGTACGTATTACAAGATCCGATATATTTCAAAGAAAACAAAGTAAAATGAAATATAATAAGATAATGCAAATATTTGTTTAAATAATGTCTGCCTTAAGTTACATACGAAAATGTATATTTTTACAAATCTAAATTGTCTACAAGTGTGTCAATCTATTACTTTAAAATATATAGTACAAATTTCAAAACATGTAAAATCAAATTAAAAAAATACATGAATATCTATTATTCAAGGTAAATAACTTATTTAAGAAAAAACGTAATTAATTGTTCCCTTGCTAAATATTCTACTATTGTCTATATATGTTCAACAATGTACTACCTACTTCATGAAAATCTTTACTAAAACACCATTTTTTCAGGTGAAGTAAATTCGTATGATATTTATTCAGAAACAGAAACATATTATATCAGTTTAATGCCTTTATACCGTATAAAACGTAAGTTGTATGTTGGTATTGTCTAAAACATGGTTATCACTGTGTAATGTATATAATGATTTGCATGCCTCCATATTCATGGTTATTTTCATGACAATTTTAAAAGTTATTTAAAAGTGATATGTTGTGAGGTAAACAAAGAAAATAATTTACACATTGCAAGCAGCACTTGAAAACCACGTAAATTACCGAAATAGGTCAAAGTAAACATAATAGCCTTAGTAACGCAATATAAATATGTAGAATACTGCAAAGTGATTCCTTTAACTCTGATTACATGTAAATTATTAGTTCAATCTTAAATCTTTTCTTAAAATCTTAGTACATTTTTTTTCAAGTTTAATTTTCTTGAAATATCTTGGCTGATCTGGAGGCATGCAGTTTTAACGCTAGAAGATTTAAAATAAATGAATGCTAATGAATGACACAAAAACATGATTTCACCCGTACATTTTAAATATATTTGCAACCAAATTTAAATAAAACTTATGAATATTTAACTATTAAAATCTATAGCTTACTGTTACATTGTATGTGAAAATAATATCATAATAACTATTTGCAAAAATATATATCTAATTTTCCACAATTATTTGAAATATCAAAATTATAGAAAAAAAACGTGTTGGTAATTAGATAGTAACAAGTAAGTTATAAAATACCAAAGACATGAATTATTATTATTCAGTACAATTATAATGTTATTATATTGTTTTATTGATTTGTGCAGCGTAAATGAATTTATCCACAAAAATCACCTATTATATTTTCCCTGGCTATTAATTAAAACGAATTGATTAAATCAAAATTGCATGTATATTTCCATATGTTAAAATAACTAATTATCATTTGTTGAACAGTAAAAACAATATTGCAATGAATATTATTTTTTGCATCATGCAAGATAACATTTGAACAAGTTCTTGACCCTGTCTATCATCAATGTAGATTACAAATCTGTCGTATTTTTGTTTTGTTTTAATCACAAATTAACATTTAATTATTTTACACTCAAAAAGACTAGAGCATCATTTCTGTATTTCCAGAAGATACACGACTTGTTTTGATATGTCCAGAAAAAATATTTGGCAAATCTTCATTCACTCCCTTTACAACATCGTTATTATCAGAACTTTTCTCCAATAAACTGTCTATGCTAAAAGGATTTCTCCTTCGAGGAGTTTCAACTAACTGCGTTTGCTTAGAATTGTTTTCTACTGCATCGCATACATCAATTTCATCCGCGTTTTCAGACTGAATATCCTCACTGTGTTTGTTATCAGAATCCGAGTTCTTTTTGTTTGTATCACAACTGCTGCTTGAGGTACTTGAAAAACTACTCATGCTGCTAAAAAGTTTCTTCTTTTCTTCTAATTTTCTTACTCTCTCCTCTTGTTTTCTTCGCTTGCGTTCAATTTTTTCTTTTTCTCTTCTTTTAATTTCGTCTTCACTGATTGGTTCCCCGCTGCAAGTTTGCGGATGTGCATTGTGGGCAGGTCTTCCGGGACCTTTCCTTGTGTGTTCATGCTTTCTCCATTTAGCCCGCCGATTTTGAAACCAAACCTGCAGAACATTGTGTTAATATTAGTATAATAAAAGAATGGATACAAAAATACACAGGCTTGTTTCTTATCTAAGGTCAATAGTAATAAAATATATTTATATAAAATTATTTACTCTGACATTTTATTGCACCAGAATATCAGAAATATTGTCTTAATGTAACCACCCCTTAATCTTAACCTACAATCCAAATTTGACACACAAGATATAAAGAAGAAAAGATTATATTGTCTGTGCTATTCTTTGCGTATCTAATGGATGGTGGCGTTTTGTTTACGCTCACCGGAACATAAGTTGAACAGTTGTAGAAAATTCTTCATTGATTGACAAACTGATTGGTTTTTTGTTCGCAAAATAGTCTTATACCGACATGTACTTGATACCCGAACTTTTGATCATTATGGGCGATGAGTGGGTTTGTGGCATGTGCTTAAATGGGGGTCTACCCTGTAATTAGCAGATACATAATGGTGTTTGGCGCGTGCGAGAGCTAGTAATTATTGACACAAATGGTACGCAACTTATAATTCAGTGCATCGAAAAAAGTATGGAATATCCAAGATTTATCTATAACAAAATATAAAATAACAATGGAAATGGGCTAAAGAAATAGGATAAAATATAGTGTTATTCATATTCTATCACTGTAAGGGTTAATGAATGCTTATGGCAAATTGGAGACATATAAATAATTTGATACCACACTGATTTGTATGAATAATATTACTTACATTTTAAAAAATGTTTGTAATAATGTGAAATATTTGGAGCAATGATTGTTAAATTACAACATTATCATTATATTTCGTACGCTTTGATTTTTATTATTATTTTCATTGTAGAAAATGAAATTGAGAGAAAAGAGGGACTAATTTATCAGATACAGACATCAGTTTCTGACTATTTTGTGCTTTTTTTTTATTAAAAATAATCGAAAAAAATGCACATTATAGGTGTCGCCACATGCAGAACCTGTATATCTTAATTGCATCGGAATATGATTCAAAAGTTAGAAAATTAATTATGTTCGTATTGAATAATGTATCCTTACCGTAAAATAATTATATATTCCTATATGATTTCCAGTTTCGAACATTATTTATGTTATTTATATTGCAAACTATACTTTCACAGTGATAAATTGGTTTTTGAATTCTAATTAATTCCAAATGAAGAAGTAATTCATATTATAAACTTGTATGAATCCTTCATTTAGAAAATAATTAAAATTGAAAAATTAAAACATAATTTGTCTTACTGTATGCTTTAAAGAAAGGTTTAAATATTTTGTAAAGTATAGACAAGAACTGAATCTCGTTTGCATAAAACTATCAATCGTATTAAATCCTTAAGATTAATTAATTGGAAAAGCATATAATAATTTTTTGAGATGTATTTAATAGTATTCAATTTATTCAATTTCAAAATTATGTTATATATTTCAGTACATTATGATAGTATATATTTCAAAATTACGTTGTTGGTTGAATTTTTTTTATAAAAAAGGGCAATGCAAAACAAAAAAGAAAATACACTACAATATTTTAATATGTTTTGTGAGAACGTTTATACAGTCAAAATAAATAACTTAAGTCTTGAGATAAAATAGCTTATTAACATCTGAAACGGAAAATGTATAAAAGTTTATCGAGCTTTTATATGCATGTACCTATCAAACCAATAATTCGTTACCATTGCATTTATATTAAAAACGCACACGTACTATGTTTTGTCTTAAGAAGATATCTAAAGATGACCTCATTTTTTTCAATATACTTTCAAACTGGTTCAAATTAACAAGCCACACACGTTATGTTTTGTTACTTCAATTGAAATAGATTTTTACTTCTTTTTTCTTCAAGTATAATTACAGGGTTGAAGAGGAGGGTTGTATCTAGCGGCACGTGTCTTCGCCTGTTAATACATACTAAATAGTTTTTTAAACATCAAAGTAACGAGTAAATTGTTCACTTAATTAAAATAGTTCGTCTTTAAATGCTTTTAAGCAATTTAATTAATAGTTTAGCAAACTGTGACATACCGGGTTATTCGTTCAAGTAAGAAGTTTTAATTGTACCTCACATAGTTTGGCGATTGAAAATGAATAGTTTTATGAGGAAAAATATTTAACATCTGATTTTCATTCACTGCAATGATTGTGCCTCTATAAGTGTTTTTCAAATAACTAAAGGTTTTTTTTGCATTCGTGTATATTTTCAATACATCCATGTTAGTTGCTAATATCTTAATTGAATTAAATGTAAAAACATTATATGAATTCATTAATACAAAAAATACCCAATCCATTAATCTTTGCATTTCTCATATAATAGACAAAGCAAAGCTGATAAAATATTAATGACGAAACATAATTTTTTTTTTCATTATATCGTCAAATCATAGATAAATGTGATTTTTCTCTACAAATAAAAATATTTAATGTTAATACAGTTGTCTGATATAAAATCAAAGCAATGTAATTGAAATATATTAATAAAAAACGATGGAAAAAATATACTTTGTGAAGAAACCAGTTTTTTTACTCTTTTATTTATTTATTTATTTTATTTCTTTCTTTATTTACTGTTTTATAATGTGAAATATTCGTTCTCTGAGGGTCAATGTCAAAATGTATTTGAATATACATGCTAATAACCTAAACCTACGTCTTGTTTGTTTTTAGCATTTCTAGTGGTGCAATTTAACTATATGAATGAGTTACTACTGTTGTTGGTGTTGTTGTAAGGTCAATTTTCGGTCTTTAATTCCTTATTACTTTCATACACTGTAACTATTAAATTCATTGATTTAGCAGTTCAATTTAATTGTGCCTATAATTCGGTCAGCTTGTTGAAATAATAAACTTGAGCAAAATAAAAATCTCACTTTGATTATAAACTTTATTGTGCTTGGATATTTTTACCTTAAATACTATTAAATGTATATGTATTTTTTATATAAATACATTAATTTTTAATAAATTTGTCACTAGTTTGACATTTGTTTTTATATATAAACTATAAAACATATTTATCTTTTTATTACTTATCCATGCATGATTTACTAACTTTTTATAAATGGACTATATTGCAATGACAATTTTGGACGAAGAACTAGGCTCACTTCCAAAAAAATAGAATTAATTTTCTGTTCTGTTAATTTAATATATTCACCATATTCATATTGAAATATTATCACCATGTGTTTTATCAATAATAAATATCTTGACAATATTGAAATTCATTTGTTTAATGAACGATTGCTCCGTTAATTAGTCACATATGGGGAAAAGGCAAGTTTTTTTTACCCTATCGGCGGCTGAATTAAATTATGCTAATGAAGATGTAAAGGTAAATCATCTTTACAAGCATGGAAAAGATATTTGAAATTTTATATATTGGGCAAATTTGCAAATTCGAAAATCAAATGATATATTACAGAACCCACTGAAAAAAATTCTAGCAGTGGTAAATGTTAGACTATATACATGTATATATTGTTTTAATATATGTTTTATTTCGATTGAGTTTTTGGTGTGTTTCTGCAATCATTTTTTTTAAATGAAATTTAGTTGTATTTTGGATAAGGAAATATATGTAAGGTTCAATAGCAGTAAATAACAAATCTTTGATTTTAATCGAATATTTATGTTAAAAGAATGCAATGTTTAGTTAAATCATCCACATGTCACGTTTATACAATGATTAATCGATACTTTTATCTAAATATAATATCATGTTCAAGTCACCATTTTACAAATAATATGTATATTCTCTTTATAACATCAACATTATGATATTAATTCAGAATGTTAAATTACCTGAACTCTGGATTCGACTAGGTCTAACCTCATTGCTATAGCTTCTCTCATGAACACATCTGGGTAGTGGCTGCTTTGGAAAGACCGTTCAAGTTCCTCCAACTGCCAACTTGTAAAGTTTGTTCGCGTTCTTCGGCGTTTCCCTGATTTATCGTCTCTTTCATCATATATATCTGAATCAAGAATTTATACAATTGTTCATAGTCTCAATGCAATAATTTATCTTCCTATTTTTTTTCTTGTAACATCAGCAATGTAAGTGGCATTGTATTTGACCACATAGACAAATTACAAAGTATTGCAAGGAAAAACGGAAGAAAATGCAAAGTTAATTTAAGAAACATTTTATTTTAAAAGATTATTATAAGTATTTATGTTAACATATATATAAATCTGACAACCTCTTTGCTATTTTTTTACATGATATTTATAAATAGTGTATAAATGCTGTAAAAAGTACAGCGGAATTTTATTATTCAGATGATATTTATGTGATATATATTAATTTCTTTAACAGATATTGAAATGCTGTCATGTGTGTTATATTGCGGTGTAGGCATGTGTGTTATATTGAAATGTTGTAATGTGTGTCATATTGCCATGATGTTATGTGTGTGGTATTGCCATGCAGACGTGTGTGTGTGTGTTATATTGCGATACTGCCATGTGTGTGCGTGTGTGTGTTATATTGCGATACTGCCATGTGTGTGCGTGTGTGTGTTATATTGCGATACTGCCATGTGTGTGCGTGTGATATATATAGAAGGATCGCTGGTGTTGCAATGTCTGCTTTAAATGGATGTTTGTTACTTGACCATTGAGTTCAATGTTTTGTTCGGTTCTTTATGTTCGTTTTTTTACTTCCTTAAAACTTTTTTATAAAAAAGAAATGCAATATATGGTCAATTTAAAAATAAAAGGCGTGGTTTTGTTTATAATAGCTATAATTAATTTTCATTTAAAAGTATGGCATGAAAATAGCAAACATATTTTGTTTCTTGTAAATATGAAAAATATTTCTTTAAGAAATGAATAAATGGTGGTTGGTCTAACCATCAGATCATTATAATAATCTAGCTTCTAGAGTGTTTTATACCATTCTAATTCATAAATAAAATTTATCTACGCACCAAATTAATCTATCAAATTTAAAATTTAAGCACATAAAAATACAAAATATTTATTTTTAATTTCGTCGGCTCATTTTTATTTGAGAATGCCTTTAAATATAAACTTTAAATTGTTAAGAAACATGAATGATAAATATAATATTTTAAGCAATGGCATTAGTTGTGTTTAGCTGAGTTAATATTACAACATTTAAAGAAGACAAATAAATCAGTAAGTTTAACATATTGAAAAGATTTTTTTTTTAAATGACATGACAAAAAAACACACGCCGATATTTCAATTACAGTTTTGAAAATGACTAAGGTGGAAATTTATTATAATAATCAATTAGACGAGTCGTCAATACCTTGGAGTGGCATTATTGATATGAAATAAATAAAATAAAAAAATTAGATCGTTTTACCAAAACATTGGGAATAGATACATCGTAAATTAAATTCATTTTAGGTGTAATTAAGCATAAATATTTGATTTCCTAATTGGCCACTCTTATTCAAACATTTCAATATCAGTGACGATACCAATTAATTGCAGGCATAAATCCTTTATTCATTTGATTCAAGTTTCATTGAATTATTTATTTAATAAAAAAAGGAATGACACTTTATATTCAATTAAAATTTGCAAGGGTATATTCTCGTCCACTTATGACATTAAACTCCACTTTTAAGTCCAATACTGTGACACGAAAATTGATGAAAATTGAAATATAATTCTTAATATTTGAAATAAGTCAATATTTACTGAAATGATCTCTTCATTGAAACCTTTTAATGAATGGTTTGTCCTAAACTCAATAAAATTGCGATTTAGCCATTGACGATATGGAGTGAAGTGTAAAAGTTGACTTATATTTTTGTGACAGTTTTGACACAAAGTAAGTAATCATTAAAGTAAGAAATATATACATTAAAAAGTAAGAAATGTATTAACACTTTTCAAATAACTATTATCTTTACAAAAATAGCAACATCTCGATATATGTGTAAATTAAATATGTAGATATACGTTCACAATACATGTGTAAACCAATATATGTATACAATACGATGTAAAATATCTAAATAATATATAATTGTTTGCTAATTCAATATTGATTTATCTAAAATAGACACTAAAATAAGCTTAACATATGGCTCCAGATGTAACTATGAATTAAATACGGTTAAAAAACAAATGAGCATTATTTTACAAAATAAAACAATGATACGAAACAAGCAAAAATATAGGAGATGATTACTTTAACAACCAGTTTGTTAATAAAATCCTCCCCATACATAAAGCTCAAGTTGTATTTATTATAGAGTTTAAGGACACGAAATGTTGCATTTCGTGAAAAACACCTTGTGATCAAAGGGCATTTTGCACTGGTGAAATGATGTGCCTTGTGCTGTTATACACAGATACTCTCGACAAAACCCCGCCCACAATATAACCAAGAATAGACACTTCTTGTTCTTCTTCAACATTTATTCTGCTCTCACATAAAAGAAAGCACAATAAAATACCGTTTCATTAAAGAAAATTTGAATTGGTTGTTCATAAATATTATAATACTAATACGTTTTCATTGCAAGAGATTAACGTTCCATTTTACCAAACTTTGTAATAACTGAATGATTTATTTAATGACTCAGGATGTGTTATTTTTTGTATTATTTTTTGTTTGTTTTCATTTACCTGTTATAATTCATACCATTCATTTACTTATTCGTTAATTTAAATGCATCATTTTCAATTTCGAATATTTTGTATGGATTTAATACTAATTTACAACGCAACATTGTATCTTGTTTTATTCATTTTTTGCTTGTTAAAAATCCTTGTATTTAAATAATGAATATTGAAACACCTTTTTTTTTAAAATATATTATTTTTCCTTGTATTGTCTCTTTTTATGATTAGATAAAGTCAATACAAATTAAAAAAAAATTATTGTAATTTTTTAACAAAAGTTTCTCCAAACATTTTTTGGGGAAATAGTATATTTTCTTTAAAATATTGTGTGAGTATTATCAGAAAGAAATATACTTTGTGTTCATTTGGTGATTATAATTCTGCTGTAATAACTTTTAATATATAAATAATTTTATACATGTATATATCATCAAATTAAAAAAAGAAAAAAAGTTGTAATAAATATTGATTAAACAAATTTGTTGTATACCTAAGTTGCAAGTTATATACATGATTGCTCTCTTACCTTGCTCATGTTGACGAGTACCCAAATCACCGAGCGGGTCGGCCTTTGGTGACAAGTCCGAGGCATTTCTACTTCCGCAGTAACCATTTCCAGCAAGTTCTCCATTAGACACTAAAGAACTTAAAGTGTTAAGATATCCAGCATGATATTGTTGATTCTTGGTGAGAGAAAGTTGGGCTACAGCTAGAGGATCCAGTAGGTGTGAATATCCTGCCAGTGGATGAAGGTACCGCAATTGTTGAAGTCCAAAATTAAACCGCTGCTGTTGCAAGAATCCAAGTGGGTTTGTCATTGTCAACGCAAAAAAAATCAAATAATAAACAGTAGAAAAAAATGTTTTTTTCAGAATTTTGTTAAATATTCTTATATGTACGGAAAGTGTTTATTAAATGCGCACACACTTTCCTAAATAATGTTTGAATAAAATTAAACGTTTTCTTTCATTTTAACTGTCTTCCATCAATCATAAGTATGTTATCTAGATATCATAATTTGTTACTTTTTTTCCACGTTTCACTTTTCGCATGCTATCATGAACACTATCTTCTATCCTCATATGGTGGTATCGGCTATATAAACATTTATTAAAGCTATATTATCCGTATAATATAAGTTGTCATTAAATCTAGCAACCACATTAGTTATTTAGTATTATTTGCTTTCAGATTGAGTTGTTGAAATTGACAGTTGTCACTTGGTGCTTTTACAAAAGGGAAAATCCGATACTAGAAATTTTCATTGAAACACACGTCGCTAATAGTAGGCCAGCCAATCACGGTTCAGATCAAATAAAATAGCAATGCCTTCCCCCCATTGCAAGTACATTAATAGCCTTTTAGAACATGTGTTACCAAAGATTGTATTAAATTGAGGGAAAATAATGAAAGTTATTTGAAAACAGTAAATTATCTTTATAAAATCATCACAGCAATAGGCGGGGGGAAGTTTGGTGTCGTACAAGAAAAGGTAGTTTTTATTTTGAATCAATAGAGTAAATTAATACAGGCGTTTAACTTTCAACAGAAAAACACACAGAAAACAAGAGAGTTGTAATGTTGCCATGGCAGCAATCAATTTATTGTAATTTAATTTTAAATTGATAATTAGTTAGCATGCAATATCAATAAGAAATATCTGTAAAAAGGAAATCAGACGAGGCCATGAGAAATGTACTGAACATTTTATTTGTGAAATGGGAATACGATTTAAATATCAACATAACTAGATGGCTATCTTTACGGAAACCGGAAACAGAAGACATAGAAGAAATAATTTCAGTTTAAACTATATTATGATTAATGTACCAAACATTCCAGCATGTCATCATTGCCGAAGCACTGCTGGGTCACGTGACCACTTTGAAATGGTTTCTTTGTACAGTCTAATGTTGTTATGAAAAGCAACGACAAATAATAAAATTAACAGCTATCAACATTTATAGTATTTTTAAGCTGATACCAATATGATTTATAAAGTCATCGTTAACTTTTCAAAATACATTTCTTTCAACCAACGACAAAGTATGAGTAGTTGTATCATATTTTATCGAAGTATGTTGGTATCGTTATACAATGTATCGTCGATTCGAGCTCTTTACACACCTTACCCCGTATTTAACTATCTGGGTAGTTTCACATGTGTTTAGGTGACTTGATGAAGCTTAAAAACGATTCACCAGTACACTGATCAGTTAAATAGGGCTTTTGTTCATCTGCTGCTTTTTTCCGAACATTATTTTTCCATAGCAATGTCTTAACTTTCATTTTGATATTCCTAATTTAGAATTTAGAGCCAATGATATTTTTGCATTATTAATGCATATATATAGGTGGCATGCTTCATAAATTGCTGATTAGACATCATAGTATAACAACACTCAGCAATTACGTTGACTTAAAAGAGTATACTCGGAGTATTAAAGGGTGCTTCTCTGTCAGAAGTCACATTAGAATATCGGTCCTTGTCTTCTATCTTGTATAATTCATTACAAAGCGAGGTGATGTTCAAATGATTTCTTTTTGATGGCATATAAATCCATAAGCATTGGTTTACAAGGTAATATCTCGTCTCATTAGGCAAATGTCATTCATCTTGAATAATTCTAAAAATGAGTAATTTCCAATGACGACTAAAATTATTGCTGATAAAAAATATGAAATTACTGTTTATGCTTTTGTTTTGCAAGCAACACAGCTCGTGCAAGTATAACAGTTATAGATAGCGGCTACCACAATTATTGCGGTTTAAAAATGAACTTTATTTCCTGCTAACCTTTCTTATTTTAGCAAGTAAAATACATGTATTTCATACCTCGCTGATAAAAACAACCACCCACATCGTTTGTATGTAACTTATTTTGATAATTGAAAAATTATACATTTTTGTTATTCGTTTAGTTGAGGCTAACAGAAAAAGAGATATAATCAAAATCATTACTTCTAAAGATGAATAAATTCTGAAAATAATATTCATAAATAATATCAATTTAACAACTTTTTAAAAAAAGAAAAAGATTGCTGATGCATTCTGGTCTACACGTGCCATCCTATTGTTGTCTTTAATTTTTTCAATAAATGACCAGTCATATCAAATGAGATCTTAATTAATTTTATTCAAATAGAATACGGTATTATAATACACAAACACATACGCTGAAGCATATTTTATATCTTGTTCTGTTAGTATATATTCCTGGTCATGGCTGATTTTATCAAATTCAATAAACTGTAAACACACCAACAAGCTAGCAGTATTGTATCTTGCACTTTCTTGTTATCGAGGGCCTCTTCGCATATCTCAGTAGATTTATTTCGAAAAGAACTGTTCAAAATGTTTAACACTAATAATCTTAAGACCTAATATAAAGTATTTTGATGATTAAAACACTGCAGAGGTGTCTAGATAAATCGTTAGAGATGATAGGGAAGATAATATTTTAGTCTAACTTTTTGTATGTACATTCAAAAATTTGGTTAAGATGTAATCAGTTTTGATGAATTTAAATTGATTGTCTAAACATATATGTGTAAAAACCTTTATGTTTCTTTCCTGATATGAGAGAATATTTGTAACCTTAATTCATCATGGATTGTTACTTATGTGAATGTCTAAAACAATAGAATAACGTTAATCAAGGGAAGGTTGCGTTCACGAAACACAGCCCCTCACAATATCAAAAAGTAACGGCACCGAAGTGGGCACGGAAATGCAAGAGTATAAAATCAGTAAGACAAACAAACTAGTTAATCCTAGTTTAACGTTTAGCTGATGTATATTTTATACGAGGGGCTTTCCAAACAATCGTGGACTTTCTTTGTTGCGTAAAATATATTTGAGATATCAATTTGAAATTCTTACACTGCTTAGAGGAATCAATAACAAACAACACAGAAAAATTCATGTTAGTAGCTGCTTATATTACAACAATATTAAACTTTACGGTGACAGAAACGCACTCCAAAAAGTTATATACGTCAACGTATATATCTCAGGAATAAGTTCGCATGCACTACTCCGTTTCACAATTTTAAACTTAAAGATGGAAAAGGTTTATCAACAAAAACGTAAAAATTCGATTTGGAGCCAATAAAGTCTACTGAAATAGAAAATGCTCATGTTTGTTTTAATGTAGCTTTAATGTGATTGTAATTATTTAGGTAATTTCGGTTTTCTGACATTGATATTATATTAACTTACGTTTCGGGCCATTTGCTGAAACAGTTAAGGGATTTTGGCAGAAATTGAATCATAATTATGAGTCAAATTTGTCGATGTTTTTCAAGACATCGTAGGTGTTAAACTTCATAAAAATGTTGTGTATATCAACTACCTGTGATGCGTTACTTAATATGTCAACGTTGCTCCCTTTGATACTGCTCTATGACAGTTTAAATTACGAGGTTTCTTTATCACCATTTTGACATAATCTTTTAATACGTTGAAGATAAATGACAACTTAAGCCGAAATCAAATTAGCAAAAAAAAAATGATGAAGCAATTACCGGCAACTGCTTAACAGTATATGGGTTTGAACGATGTATTTACCAACATGCATAATGATGACTATAATGGGACGTCAATTGTAAATTGGATGGTTTGTGTGAATATAAGGATGTATGCGTCGGGAAAGGTTTTGTTTGATGCAATCGCGGCGTTGTGTCTAGAGTAAATTAATTTATAGATTCAATATACGTACAATTGTGCAAAAAGGAAAATATTTAAATGAATTTATTCTTTTTTTTTTCACAGTCGAACAGATTCCCATTCCAATCCCATTTTGAACTCGGTAACGATTTCACAAACCTCTTTAGTATAATATTGAAAAAGCACGTTCGCATAAGAAAACAACATGTAATTTTAGCAAATGTCAAACAATTTGTAACGTCTTGAAAATCGACCACTGGAATTATTTTTAGATAAATCTTCACTAATCATGTTTGCTGATAGAATTTCTTATAATTAAAACCCTCCATAAATGAAAAGATTGCCAACTGAAAAACATCTTTTTGGCATGAATTTAATTATAAATGACATGTTTTAAGAAAGATAGTCCAAATATACATCGGATCCCCAGATGGTGACATTATTCACATGTATTCTTTAATATTGACATATCTACTCCACTTCGGTGGTTAGTGAGATTTGCAAGTAATTTTAGTTGTCTTTTGGAGTACCTCAAGGTTTGTCATTCACTCGTGTATCATTCTTTGATAAATAGAGGTCACGCCCTATCTACAACGAGCCTTTCAAACGGCAACAAATTGGTTAAATTTGATATCATTATGTACGGGAGGTTGTTTAATATTTGTCTCATTCATACAACGAATTATGGTCGTATGAAACTCGTCATATATAATTATTCTAAAGGTGTAACATGTATTAACAAAATGTGCTACAAGTAAAAACTTCAAAAAAAAATTAATTTAGATTGCAATTGTAAAGTTGCACACTTCAGATATGTAACTGTACAAAATTAAAACATTTTCATTTTAAATTATTGTTTAAAACAATTATTTTTTCCATTTATTATATTCGTTTAATCTATTTAGAGACTAATATTTGTCTTTGTTTTTGCCCTCGTGTTCGTTTTATTTTAAATATCTTTACCGAATGCAGCTCATTTTAAAATTCAAATTAAATCTGAAAACACTCCTGGGTTGTGACAAAACATTGTTTTCTTGTGAGAGCTGTTATTTACAAACAAGTTTGTTTATTTGTTATTTCGCTGATGTTTTAGTTTTGCTTGTCTTTGTTATTCTTTTTTCATTATTGTTATTATTTTTATGTGATGGGAAAGTTTTGTGGGGAAAAACACTGCATATTTGATGTCCAACACTTTTTTACAATTGCACAATTTCCTCTTTTTCTTGCTTTTTCTCTTTATCAATTTTATAAATGTCTTCTCAGTGCATATTTTTGTATCTATGTCTTTTTTAAAGGCAATAAATGCATGCGCGTTTTTTTTTCTTGTTTGTTCTTGTGAATATCACAAGTAAACATGAACATGTCTTTCATTCCATGCATGACCATTGTGCGAGTTAAGATTTCACTTGACATGAAGTTTTTTTTTATTTGCACAGTCCTTACACGTTATAAATGTTTGGTGATGCTTTTTTTTTGGATGATGTTGTACATATCGTATCATGCTTTAACATTTCTTTCTGTACATATTAAATCATGTTTTGACGTTGCAGTACATAATTAATCATGTTTGGACGTCGCTTTACATTGCAAATCATGTTTAGACGTTATAGTACACAGTGAAATATGCTTTGACGTTGAAGTACGTAGTAGATCATTCTTGGACGTTACTGAACATAGTGTATTATGTCTGTGTTGCCTATTGCTAAATGAATCTATACCTAATTAAGTAGAACTGTAATAGTGTCAATAGTACAACGAATTAAAATGAATTATTTTTGGCATTTAAAAATATCAGCTTGATTTATAATACGTTTAATGTAACAAATTTATGATGACGGTGTTAATAAAGTGATAATATGGCCTCGGATGCATCTTAAAGCTTCAATCATTTATTGACACTTGAAATAGATGGGCGTGGATGAAAGTTCCGTTACAAATTACCCATCGGTGTCTGATAATTAACTTGGAGGAGGTTTGTACTTTGGTTTCAGTTGAAATAACGCATTGTTAATGAGGTGTCAGTAAGATGGTCATTTATACCAAATATTACCTGCCGTGTTTGCAGCAATCACGTGCTGTGTCTAACGTGATTTTATTACCATAACATACGGACACGTTGTAAATTGGTGTTCTTATTTTGTCCTATTAAATTTGAAAGATTTATAGTAATACACCGTCAAGAAAATCGGAAAAGTCCGAAAATCTAATCTAGAGTAAATACTAAAAGGATAATCTAAGGAACCCTGTAAGCGCCATCGCCGCGTTTCAAGTATCGGAACTACTCGAAATAAATGAAAAAATTAAATAACGAAACCAATTATCAAACTGTTCAAAGTTCGATAGATAAAACTTTCAATTTTGCATCATTGTACATTTAAATGTTAAACGTTGTTGCTTTAAATATGGCGACATTTTTTGTTTCAAATAATTTACTTGTTCGCCTGTAGTCGTTTGCAGTTTCAATCAGTTTTCTTACATACTAAATTTGACAAACGCTCCTATTTTTAAATCAGCATTAAATCTTTAGCAACTGATATTATTATCACCCACCACTGAATTTATGAATTTACTTTTGAATAAAAACAGACACTTTAGTAATAATTTTCTAACATAATCTCTTAATTCATGAAAAGTTCAAACGCAAGATCTAGACGATTTTGAGATAGTAATTTATTTATAATTGGATAAATTGAAGATAATTTTATTAATGATGATGACACTGTCTTACACTCCATTGCTTCAAGATTAAAAAAGATGCATTTTTAAACGTTTTTTAGATTTCACACGCTGGAAAAAAAATGGTTAAGATATTTTGTCTTTGATATATATAGCCTCTACACCGGTGTCAAGCTTTGTCGTGTAACATAATATCCCACGGACAATTGAGTTTGACAGGTACGTGTTACCCATAGCTTCACGTGCATACTCTTACAGCAATTAAGGAAGATAGTGGGAGTGCGTGTAGAGGACTTGATTGTTAAATACAGACTCTTTTTTGTGTTGATTACTTCACAGGGTGACCGTACGTATATAAAACGCTCCCTCGGAGTTAACGCTTGCTAAAGATCCTTGCAAGAGGCATCAGTTGGCGACTTGAACAACATCCCTGTAACCTTCTCGACTTAGAAACTGCTTCGGGGATTTTAAATGTTTCAACTTTAGAAATGAAATACTTTTAACGAAATGTTGTTTTACAAAAGATAACAATTAAGTAATATGTGTTATTTACTATTTCATTATATGTTGTATGAACATATATATAAATTCACTTAAATTTGCTTGAAGTTTTTTCTTATATGAATTATTAAAGTCTGTTTTCATTCATTTGTCTCTCTAAAGAAAGATGTTGTCCTTGTATACATTATGTATGTATAAAAAAACATATTAACACTTTTCTCCTATTTTATTGACAAAAATATCATAAGTATGTGTACTTTTTATATTTTTTATTAGTTTATTATTCGTTATTTCACAAATGTACTTACTATCACAGATTAAATGTCTATTTTGCCCATTTTTGCCAGGTGTCACGGATCTTAATATTTCTTTTATGCAAAATCGTTGCAAAACGCATTGTAATGTTAAAGTCTACCCGTTAAGAGTTTGAAATTTATATTTTCATAATCATACTAAAAGTTTAACCTGACCTTGTTTATATATATATGATTTACTGAGAACCGATTCCTTTGCCGATCCTGTATTGTCACTGTCTTTTGCATCAATTACCCGTCGCTTCTGACTGTTCGAGACATACTAGAGACGGTTTGATTTGTTTTCTATAACTTGGGTTTTTTAAATGGTTCTACCAAAGTGTCCGCCATCGGGTAAAATAATGATCGCAGGTGCGACACTTTGAGTGAATAGTCCTTCATACGGCTGAAATATTGTCATGTGTCCTTACACGGTCATAGGATTTTCTTTATATTTTTTCTTTATATTTTATTTCAGAGTTAGCATAAAAATATACACTAGAGTAATTAATAGCTTGACTGAGAAACTTCTGTAAAACTGAAAATATATCCCATTTTTTGTCAAAAATAGCTGCATAAGTAGAGAGACTGTCTGATTTTAAACTGGTCTTAAAATATCCATTAACAAATGTTTCCCAACCAAATACAATACAGAGTATACAGAGAAAAGTTTCAGGTTTCAACACTTAAAAACATGATTTTTGTTCCGTCAAAACTCTTTACTGCAGCCATTCTTAAATTGAAAAGAAACAACAACAAAAACAAAAACAAAAATAAGTGTAAAAACTGTTTAACGCAACTAAATTTAATTAAAATATTGTTACATTATACTAGTTGTCAATGTCACTGTGTAAAGGGAGGCAACTCCTACAGACTGGGAGACAGTTCTGTCACAAAGAGTTATCGAATTTGGTCGAGGAGAGATTTATGAACAAGCCACGAGCTTCTGTCATTACAGTACATTATATAAAATACGAGTTTATTTCGTGGGTTTCTCGCGTGAAACACATTATTTTTTCATATAAGATATCAGCGTCACTTTAATTATTTACCTGACTACGTAAACGATTTTAATCATATGTGAGTAGACACCGAGGTAAAGAAATATACTTGTACATTGTTCATATTAATCATTTCACAACTCTCTCAATAATAAATATGTTTAACATATCCTAAATGGCCGTCATAAATTCTCAAATGTTTTTATCGTGGTCTTGCTTAAACCAAGACGCGTTATTCTTAACACATCGCAGCAAGAGGCATGTTCAAATTAAGTTTTATTTTCTTGACATTGGGATTATTAACAGTTTCGTTTGCAGCTAAAGGTAAAATAGTTTATTTTCGTTTTCTTGTCCTTATACTTTCTGTAAATAACTCTGTATACTGGTATACATGAAAGTCTGACATCGTTTTCCTATAATTATGAAAACATCTGTTTTATTTTATGATAAATTTATTTTCATCTCTGGTTTTCATTTAGAATTATATTTGCACATTTTTTGCCATTGTAACTTAATACAATACTAAGACTTAAATGCGGTCATTTTCTTTTATTAAGACAACATTACCAATGTGCATTGAGACAAAATTTGGGCAAATAACGCCCAACATTCATTTTGTTATTAAAAAGGTCTCAAGATAATAAAATATGCGCTCTTTACTCTAACTTGACCGATACAAGACTTAATAATGTGAGAAACTGAATAAAAGTTCCATACTATGCTCAATCCTTACGTAAAATGTAGTAATCTCAGAAATTTACTCACGGGGGAGGAAGTGTTACACGAAGGATGGAGTTCTTATGATAACTTGTTTGGAGTTCTTATGATAACTGGTACGGAGTTCCTGGAAAATGTTACGGATTTCTGTGGAAAACTTTTCTATATACTTGGAGAACTTGCCTAAAAAATGGTTATTTTTAACTTTAAATGGGGAGTTTGAGGTGCTTAATTAAACTTTGATAATTAAGCTTGCCCTACATATTGTATTTTGTTTCAGAAAAAATCTTTTAGTCTATATTTTGTCGCCTTTTTTAAAAAAATCTGCATGTTTTGAGAAAAATTACCAAATTACTTGCTAATTCGTACATATTGACCTTTTCATTTGTGATCTTCTTCGTTGCTATACTTAATTACCTAATTATTATGGAGAGTTGCAAACATAAAGCCCGGGCTAATAAATTTATACCCGAATTTTCAAATGTTACGGAGTTCTTGCGATAACTCAAAATATGTCCTGGAGTTCTTATGATAACTTTTGTTACTGCCAGTGTGTTTTTGTGCTTAATCACGGCGCGTTTAAGCGTATTTTATTAGACAATAAGTGTGTAAATCATTATGAAGCATAGTACGCTTATCATTTGCACAAAAATTTGGTTATATAACGTTGGTTTTGATCGTGTTTTTCAGTTCAAGAGATATTTTTCTTACCTCCGTTTCTTGTGTTTTTTGTGTTTGTTTTGGTCTTTTTGTGTGTGTGTTTTTTATATTTTATTGGAATGACTGTAAACATACTTGATGTAGAGCATTTACTTACAGGATAAAAATACGCTTTGAATCATGATTTCGTCATATATACATTATTCCTGGCAGTTTTAGAGAACATTAAGTAACTATGCTATCGGTATGCATGTAAATGGTTTTCAGCAAAATAGGAGGTAGTATGCACTACCTTTATCTAAATTTAATGAGGTGGGTGTCGTCTTTATGCACGTTTCATTTATGTGCTGATTTGTCATGTGCACGTTTTTCATGTACTGCAAATTCACAATAAACTACAAAAAATCGACATATCTTGCCTCGCCCATCACATCGACATATTTTTTCGGGCTGAAATGAACCTATGGCTTGATTATATATGCATCACACATATTTAATATGTTCATATACATATCATCTTCGGACAAATGGCAGTATATTGTCAAAAATAAATGGAAAATTCATAAAAACACCCTACTTTCGGTTTTGCAGCGGCACGGGCTACCTCTCTTCATTTGAATTTTCATATCACAGGTACCCTCTCATTTTTTAACACATAGGTACCCTCAAAGCACGACATATACTTTTATGTGTTAATCGCTAAGTATGTAATATTTACATATAAGTAAGAAATATTACATACATACTTAACGATTAACGCAAATAAAAGCATATGTCGTGCTTTGAGGGTACCTATGTGTTCAAAAATGAGAGGGTACCTGTGATATAAAAATTCAAATGAAGAGAGGTAGCCTGTGCCGCTGCAAAACCGAAAGTAGGGTGTTTTTATGAATTTTCCATTTATTTTTGACAATATACTGCCATTTGTCCGAAGATGATATGTATATGAACATATTAAATATGTGTGATGCATATATAATCAAGCCATAGGTTCATTTCAGCCCGAAAAAATATGTCGATGTGATGGGCGAGGCAAGACATGTCGATTTTTTGTAGCTTATTGTGAATTTGCAGTACATGAAAAACGTGCACATGACAAATCAGCACATAAATAAAACATTCTAGTGTTCCGTGGTATACATCTTTTCTACGTGTCATACCTCCTTTCCTTATTACAATGAAATTTTACTGGATTGTTATCCATCGCTGGTTTGTTTTTAGCAGAGAATGACCTGTGCATGTTCGAAGAGGGTACCGTTTGAGCAGATTTCGCAAAGAGGGTACAGATATGGATATGAACCGTGATCATTGTCATAGAACTTTATAAGTTTCTATGACAAAAACTGATACCTTTTAGAAATTGAAATACCCGTTGAAACATAAAGACGACACCCAACCCACCTCATTAAATTTAGATAAAGGTAGTGCATACTACCTCCTATTTTGCTGAAAACCATTTACATGCATACCGATAGCATAGTTACTTAATGTTCTCTAAAACTGCCAGGAATAATGTATATATGACGAAATCATGATTCAAAGCGTATTTTTATCCTGTAAGTAAATGCTCTAAATCAAGTATGTTTACAGTCATTCCAATAAAATATAAAAAAACACACACACAAAAAGACCAAAACAAACACAAAAAACACAAGAAACGGAGGTAAGAAAAATATCTCTTGAACTGAAAAACACGATCAAAACCAACGTTATATAACCAAATTTTTGTGCAAATGATAAGCGTAGTATGCTTCATAATGATTTACACACTTATTGTCTAATAAAATACGCTTAAACGCGCCGTGATTAAGCATAAAAACACACTGGCAGTAACAAAAGTTATCATAAGAACTCCAGGACATATTTTGAGTTATCGCAAGAACTCCGTAACATTTGAAAAATCGGGTATAAATCTATTAGCCCGGGCTTTATGTTTGCAGCTCTCCATAATAATTAGGTAATTAAGTATAGCAACGAAGAAGATCACAAATGAAAAGGTCAATATGTACGAATTAGCAAGTAATTTGGTAATTTTTCTCAAAACTTGCAGATTTTTTAAAAAAAGGCGACAAAATATGGACTAAAAGATTTTTTCTTAAACAAAATACAATATGTAGGGCAAGCTTAATTATCAAAGTTTAATTTAGCACCTCAAACTCCCCATTTAAAGTTAAAAATAACCATTTTTTAGGCGAGTTCTCCAAGTATATAGAAAAGTTTTCCACAGAAATCCGTAACATTTTCCAGGAACTCCGTACCAGTTATCATAAGAACTCCAAACAAGTTATCATAAGAACTCCATCCTTCGTGTAACACTTCCTCCCCCGTGTATAGGGATGCTGGAATAATTTCTTAGTTAAAAGGGTTTTAATATTTGATTGCATTTCATGTTTTCTTTGTCTGCGCATAGGCAGGTCTATTTTTTCACGTGTATTTCATGACCGGGTCTGTCTGACTAGAACAGACCTGTGCACGTGCAAAAGATAGACCTCATAACGGACTTTCTTTTGTTTAAACAGGTCTATCCGAAAAATATAGACCTATCACAAACAATAGAGGAGGTGTGTAAATTTACAAAGAGACTGTAGAAAATTTTTAATATCAAATTTGGGCATATAGTATATCTTTCAGCGATTAATAACGACAGGTTTTCATATTTGCTAACTGCTTATTAACTTTTAATTCAAGGAGTTTCAATATATTCGTTTTTTTTTTTTTTTTTTCGATTTATGGCATTGCTTGTGACAATCGATGCCCATGATATGTTTATTGCGTTGTTTTAGTTTGTTCGTTTGATATCTTTTTATTTCAAATCATAATATTTTCCAAATGTTTGAAGATATGTTTTTAAAGTGTATTGAGATATCCGGAAAAAACGAACACTCCCGTTGCTAATGTTTCTTATTATAACCTTAGTTGTTAAAAAATGATATGAGTGTAGGACAAATGATGTGGCTTTACAGAGGCTGTACTGTAATATTAATTATTTTATAGATCAAAACAAATCTTTAAAGGATATAACAGCAATTGTTGCAAGCAGGTATTGTAGGACCTATCTATCTTGATTCAATAATGACAGTGATGGCGATACACATTGGTACATGCCTATAGCAATGACTGTTTGGTTGTTAAAGTAACGTTCTGCTCATTTTTTGTTGTCAATTTAAGCTGAATTCTATCTAGCTTCCATTTACTCAAACCCCTGCTGGGAGTTTTCGCGTCACTAGTAAGAAGGATAACAAGAACGATCAGTGATCACTTGTGTCGCCAGTTGATAGCCCATTGTTTATTGCGGCGACTGCTTAGCAGGAGACACAAAACTCATAAATAAGCCAAAACGCGTTTTATTCAAGGGCCATACCTCAGCTAAAATTCATTCAACCGGAAAACTCGTTTAATATGCGCAAGTACTTGAGGTACCAATCAGTCCTGTAAATTGTCATTTAAATTGCATAAGTAGTATCAGAGAATTAGTACAGGCAAAACTTTGAAATTTAAAATCATTGAACCGTAAGATGCATTCGATATACAAAACTAGACTTGGCACTGATCATTCCTGTAAAGTTTGTATGAAATTGCACCAGGAGTTTTTAAGGAGTAGTCCGGGCAAGTATTGTGACGGACGGCCAGACAGACGGACAGACAGACGCCTGAGAAGTGATCCCTAAATGTCGCCACAACTCTGTAGCAGGCGACACAATAACAGGGGTTTAAAAGTGAGATAAAAGTTTAAAATAGAATAAAGCAAAACATGTGTGTATTTAGGGTGAGGCTTACAACCTTACTGAGCATTGGTCAGACAGGGGCCAACATCTGGGGGAAAGGCATTCAAATGAAAAATGGTCTTAAGGAAGAATTAGTACTTGTAGTAGACGGTAGCTGTTGGAATTTGTTTGAAAGCAAGGAAATGGGGATTTCGAGTAGGTCTAACTACTGGGGGAGATCTGGAAAGGGAGGGAGACTAGCAATATTGCTATATACAAGATTAGCTATTTTGATAGCCATTGACCAATACTTAATAATGGAAAATGTTTATCATTAGATATTAAAACTGCCTTAAATATAAAAAGACTGCCACAATAGTTTTATCAATTGTTATTTCCAATATCTTTCGAAGGATATTTACAGAATTTCACATTTTCACCAGTCCTAATTAAACATGTGAAGAAGAATAGTAAATTGGAAATGATTATGGTATAATGTAATGTAATTTTGCCTCTTACCTGTACACTCACCATTAAGCCTTGGATGAGCATAATGCCACTTTAACATTTACGTATAACTTACTTATGAAAATTGTGTATCAATATAATTAAATAGATCATGAGCAATTATAAATGGCGTCAAAACTGATAATAATACATGTATAATAATGTATGGAAAATATTATGAAAAAAATGCAAAAGATTAATACAAATACAGACTTTTTCTGTTTTCTACACATATGTCAGTCGATAACATGACATATTTATGGCAAAACGCGCCGTTTAAGATTCATGTTTAAGCTATTTATTTTGTTTGTATTCATTTTTTCACCTTGGTGGAGCAAAATGTTGAAATACGAAGACATGACATTTGTGCCTTGTTGTACTTTCGTGATTTCAACCTGTAGGATTTTTTGCCTCTTTACACCATTATTATGTAATAGTTACCGTACGAGGAATAGGTCTGCATAGTATTTACAGACCCGGGTGGCGATTTGAAGACCGAGAGAGCGTAGCGATCGAGGTTTTTAAAAGGCCACCGGGTCTGTAAATACTATGCAGACCTATTCCGAGTGCGGTAACTATCTTACCTACATGCTCTTTTGTTTTTCTATCCATACATCAGTTTTTAGCTCAGTATTTATCAATATTACTCACAAGAAACATAATTATTACTTATGTACTTTATCATGTTTAAGAAAGCATTCCAAAGCCAAGCAAAGATACCATCCGCTACGCTCTTGTAATTCATTCGTTCACAAATCAGGTGTTATTTGAATATTCTCGTGATTTTCGTGGGGTTTCATTAGGTAATGTACTTGTTGAGTTGAGTCACAGAAAATGAAAACAGAACTTGTCGAGTAGGGAAAGGTAAGATCATTATTTTGATATGTGAATACATAACATATTAATAATATAAACACATACTGAGGAAGATAAAAATGTTTTCTAATCATAAAAACGGAACACTTTATCTTTATATATAATCATGGTAAATAGATGATCAGGCTATTTCTTATATACATGTAATTAAAATATACGATTTTTTCAAAGGAAAGTACGAGACGGGGTTCTATGAATAAATATTAGTAATACATGTAGTTACACCGTTATGTAAGTTGGGTTTTGTTGTTGTTGTTTTTTATGATGGCTGTTTTTAAATGTTCTTAGAATTTCATCCATGTTTGGAAGAATTTTCTTTCCGTGTATTATTAATTAGCATCATCCGTTTTTAGACCGCATGTAAGCACGCGGTCTAGAATGGAAGCGCAAGTCATATTCTTGGTACTGGTATACAAAATCCAAATTGTAATGTAAAAATAACTGGGAAAAAAAGGTCTTATACTTAAGATGAACTATACTCTCACTGAAAGTAATATTTTGGAAAAAGGAAAGATGCAGAAGTTGACTTTGATTCGATATGCACAAATAATATAATCGTCGTATACATCCTATAATGCAGAATTGTTAAAATAATGCAGGATTGTGCAAATTCAGACATAGTTGTGGAAATAAATACCGAAAACTAGTATCTTATGAATATATATAGTTCGGCAAATGTGTTAGGTATACCGAAAAGCAAACTTTAAAGAAAGGCTTAATATGCGTTGTTATACTCATTAATATCGACGAAACACAAAACTTTAACGCCAGAACAGTAGCCAGTTCGTTTTTCTCACAAATAATCTGGAATATAAGTTATGAGGGTACTTACAGCCGTATACGCTAATTTATTTCGATTAATCTTTGAAATATATATCGACCCTTTTTCCTATTCAAAGTGGTCATTATCCCCCCCCCCATCCCCCACAATTTAGCGTTATTTTACGGTGAATATTGTGTACTGTAATGCACGAGTTTCTCGGCTTCACATAGTTTCTATTGTATAGAGAACAATAGAACAATAACCGGTCGGTATCTATTTGCAGACCTGTTAACCGGTCGGTAAGTGATTTACTAGACCGCTTTTAACAAAGGAGCCGGTAGGTAACTTTTTTTACCCTGTCACATGCGTACAAAGAAATGAAAGATGCAATACTTCATGTTGTGGGGCAAAAATGCAACGGCCGAGTAAATGAAAACACGTTATAGTCACTATTCGTTGTGTAAGATTTTTTTTAACTTTCTCCCCGCCATGTCTGAAACGCAAACTCAACAAATTTAAGGCGAAATCAAGATACATGAAATTTGTCGTTTTGTCGCGCCATAAATCTGTCGTTTAATCGTGTTTTCATGATAATTAATAAATAGGACAATTAGCAGGAAAGCACACTTATACAACGATGAATTTATAAATCAACCATCTTACATCGAGTAACATATATATGAATAGGAAAGAAAATAGAAAAGCGAAAAACACACAAAGCGCTAGTATTTTGTGATAACAATAGAAAATAATTCTTGGAAATCTGCTTAAAGATGTCCAGTCTAAGATAGATGTATCAATACTTAGTCCGTTCTAACATGTATAAACATCTGATATTTGTGTTATAGATAACATAGTAATATAGATAATATATTAATAAATACACTTTTATGCAAGAAAGTGACGTTGTAGGGTCTTGCAAGAAATTCTTTAGAAGCAGCTGTAAAAAGTTGCTCGTACTTCACTTGAGTGTTGGTATATTTTTCTGGTCTTTCTGGATAAAAAAAAATCCAGCACTTTTAAGTGTTGAAAATTGAGTACCACTCACAAGCTGATGTTAGAGGACATGAGAGATGTTGCACTTTTTCATTATCCTTCATGTACAGACTACGATCAAACCAAGTCTGCAAAGTTCATGTAATTTTATTGTGATTAATGCTTCCGATGAATAACATTTTGTACAGATTTTTATATTTGACATTTCTAAGTTGTAAGGATTTAATGTACTAATATATAACAATATAATGATGCACACCGTTTCTTGATATTTCAAGGTACTCAGACATGTGGTGCAAACTTTTGGCAATGTGCTGATGGATCTTGTATATTCCTGGTGGGTCGTTGCGACAACTTTCCTGACTGTGAAGACGAATCAGACGAAAAGGGATGTGCTTCAGGTGATATAAAAATATGCTAGAATAGTTTTCTATGTTGTCATAATAGCCACTAATTCCCTTCAATAACGTCCTTTAGATATTCAAAGCAATTTTCAGCAAGAGCCTGTTTCAACCTTGCTTCAGCTTTATGATACGATGTACCAGTTTTAGGCAATAATCATGAATAAGGAATTCACTCTTTTGCAAAATTTTACTGTAAAAAGCACAAATTTGTGTCAATATCATACCATCTTAGTCTTAATTCCTAACCACGCTAACAATGTTTTAATGGACTTGTTCATTTTTCAATCCGGACAATACCATTTATCATTTTTAGGGAAAATTTAATGTGATATTTGATGAAAACTTTTTCTTCTTTGAAACGATATTCTCTTTCTTTCATGATTTTGAAATTTTTGTAAAATTAGCGTCCTAAATTAAAACAATTTTATTGAATTTGTTGCGTTCATTTGCTTAGAGACATACGTTTCATTATTGAACTGCGAAATTTTGGTGTTTTTTTTTCTTCCTTTATTTAAATAATTCCTTTTCATTTTTATTCTTTTTTATTTTTTTTTGGTAAAAATAACACGGTGTTAAGGTAATGTTATTAACAAACAATGAAAATGTATTTCATTACACTACCGTTTTGCTATCAATGCAAAATTAATTTTTTCGAAATATTTATTCTGGTTTTAGAAATTAGTCAGCATGATTTTACGAACTGGTCTAAGTACACTAAGACACTAAGATCTAAAAGCTTTGACATTAACAAAACATAGAGTATTTGAATACTCGACACGAGAACCGTGCTAAGCCGGATACATTAGCCAGATTTCACTGTATTTTAAAGTGCATACTATCTCTGAATAGTTCGGTATGAAAAATATAACACATTTTATCTTTTTCATTCTTTTAATGTCTAGGTAAAACTTTTATAGTTTAACCACATCTATTCATTACGGTGTGCAACATGACATTGAAATAGTTAAGAAGTAAAGGGTTAAGTTACTTGTTAACTTATTTCTAGTATAATTTATCAAATCTGACGGAGAAAATGTTCAGTAATTTTGTTACATCACGACACAAACCGATTATTTTCATAAGAATATAAAAGGCATATTTCATACTGCCAAAACAAGTGTAAATAATAATTTTATATAAAAGTATAAAAACTTGTTTCATTTTTGTATCAGTCTTTTGGCATATTTTTGTTTTAACAAAAATGACCAATTTTACCAAGCCTGTTGGTTATCATTATGAACTTGTCCATTGGACAAAATCTTTTATAATTTGTAGGGAAATATTTTTAAATAAGAGCTAACTGAATGGCGAACAATGCAGACCATGATTAGACTGCATTGAGGTGCCGTTTGATTTCCGGACTGGTCGGATTGGTACGCTAACAAGCTATGGGGTAACGGCATATTCTTAGTTTGGGGATCTTTCTGATGAAAATGTGTCAGAGTTAAATAATATACACATACATGTACAGTGCGTTAACTGGAGTGCAGGTATTAGTTAGTTGTTGATTGGCTTTGTTCTGTGGTTTAGTAATAGAAAGAGTATCGACACACGAGGCTATCTGATTTGTACGAGGGGGCATAGACCGCGAGTATAAATCAGAATGCCGAGTGTTTTGATGTTCTTTCTCTTTTGTATCATAGGCAAAAATAAAAACACGTTCCCTGTCGTCGCAATATTAAACCCCAGAAAAAAGTAACCAATGTAGGAGCTTCCAAATATGACTGTTTTTTTATCCTTTTCCCTGTCCTCGCAATAAGTAAACCCCAGAAAAATTTGCCAATAAAGGAGCATACTCTAGACAGACAGTGAGTGCAGGTTACTAAAACCTGCACTCCAGTTCACGCACTGTACATGTATTGTATACGATTTAACTCCGACACGTTTAAGTAAAGGCCCAAAACTATGATACAACTTATTTTGACGACAGGGAAAGAGATAACGATAGAAAAGTCATATTCAGATGCTCGTTCGTTGGTTACTTTTTCTGGGGTTTATTATTGTGACGACAGGGATCGTGTTTTATTGTACGCCTCTCGTACAATTCAGATAGTCTCGTGTTTCGATGCTCTTTCTATAACGTAAACCTCGAGAACTCAGGAACGAATATGATTTTTTTTCTTAGAAAAGGCAACCCTGTGTTATAATAATCTTATAATAGAATTAAAGCAGTTAGATACTTATTAATGAAGAAAGCAACAAGGAATGTTAGTTTGTTAAAAAACAGCAACATAAAAACAAAGTAATATTCTGTGTTCCATATTAAATATCAAATCATTATAACTAAATTTATTGCCAATTTTGCCTAAAACAAGAACGAAAAATTGCCAAAAGCCATTGAATGGCCATTAGGAAATTGCAACAGAAAAACAAAAATTAAAAGCTTTTGAAAATAAGGAAAAGCTTTTCAGAAAAAAAAACATATTTTGAGCTTAATGGGTCTTTATTATTTTTAATTTCTACACATTTAATTTCATCAGTGTTGATTGCATACTTTTTATGCACTTTATTTTATTTAGTGCCGCATTGTAACAAAAATGTACTATATTTGTCTCTTACACAACTAGAAGTTTGGACCCATGGGAAAACAAGTGACGCGATACCCAACATAATTATGTTTCATTAAGCCAGTTAAAGATACCTTTTTCAAACAATCGTGACGAACGCTAATCATTTAAGTCCCGGCAAGTTAAGGTTTAAATAAAGGGGAGTAACTTAGTCGTAAGTATTACGATCACTTTATTAATAGCCATTGCCCTTGACAACTTTTACGCCCATAGCATCTAGACTTATGATCAATTCTAATACCCAAAAGGCTTTTGCTCCTATTAATCGACATCAAAACAAATTTTGACGGTTGCTTTTAATTCATATATGTTAAATAGAAACATATGTTTCTGTTACTCATTTTTTGTTACAATACCACCGTAGGAAACAGTACAAGATGGAGGATTATTTGCGGGAAGACAGGTAGGTGATCGTTTTTTTGAGCCAATATAGAGATGATACTGCGTAGCAGAGTCTGAGAAAATATATACCTAGAGGACGGATCCAATTCGTTACAAGCAAAGCACAAAACATCTTTAAGAAACTAAACTACTTGTAGAGTGGACGGAAACAAAAGTCACCTACCTGTTTTCCAAATTCTATACTCTAAAGCGCGATACCGTTCCCTACGGTGAATGCCCTTACAATTAGTATCATATTTTTATGCCGGACGAAAGCGTTTATTATTCGCTAAGATTTATGAATTCTAACAATTTCCAATTTAAAACATTATAAATGATAAGAAAATAGATCGGCTTCAACACAGTTTCTATACTTGGATTTTGATCCATACAATGCTAATATTATTGCTAATGTTAAATGTATTGATATATTTCAGTTGTGTGTAAAGAGGGTCAGCGCCCATGCTCCTCAGGAGAATGTATAAATGCCAACTTTTTCTGTGATGGGATAATTAACTGTAGAGATGCCGGTGATGAGCTAGCGGCTGACTGCCCAGGTATGACGCAATTGTTGATGGGCATATACTCATAATTTAATTCCATTTTTAGCTCGACTATTCGAAGAATATGAGAGCTATTGTAGTCGCCCCGGCGTCGGCGTCGGCGTCAGCGTCCGCGTCGGCGTCTGCGTTGGTTAAAGTTTTTTGTAAAGTCAAATATCTCAATTATTACTTGAGATATTCAATTGAAACTTACAATACTTATTTATAGTAACAAGGTACATCAGATTGACAAGTTTGATAACTCTGCCTACAATATTGACAGAATTATGCCCCTTTTTAACTTAGAAATTTTGGTTAAAGTTTTTTGTAAAGTCAAATATCTCAATTATTGCTTGAGATATTCAATTAAACTTACAATACTTATTTATAGTAACAAGGTACATCAGATTGACAAGTTGGATAACTCTGCCTACAATATTGACAGAATTATGCCCCTTTTTAACTTAGAAATTTTGGTTAAAGTTTTTTGTAAAGTCAAATATCTCAATTATTGCTTGAGATATTCAATTGAAACTTTACAATACTTATTTATAGTAACAAGGTACATCAGATAGACAAGTTGGATAACTCTGCCTACAATATTGACAGAATTATGCCCCTTTTTAACTTAGAAATTTTGGTTAAAGTTTTTTGTAAAGTCAAATATCTCAATTATTGCTTGAGATATTCAATTGAAACTTACAATACTTATTTATTGTAACAAGGTACATCAGATTGACAAGTGGGATAACTCTGCCTACAATATTTACAGAATTATGCCCCTTTTTAACTTAGAAATTTTGGTTAAAGTTTTTTGTAAAGTCAAATATCTCAATTATTGCTTGAGATATTCAATTTAAACTTACAATACTTATTTAAAGTAACAAGGTACATCAGATTGACAAGTGGGATAACTCTGCCTACAATATTGACAGAATTATGCTCCTTTGGAACTTTTTTGTTTAAAGTTTTTTGTAAAGTCAAATATCTCAATTATTGCTTGAGATATTCAATTGAAATTTAAAAATACTTTTTTGTTGTAACAATGTACATCAGTGTGCAAAAATTGCATAACTCTGCCTGCAATATTTGCAGAATTATTTGCCCCTTTGAAACTTAGTAATTTTGGTTAAAGGTTAAAGGTATTCAAAGATATTTACTTGAAACTTTACACATGCACTTAGGGTCATAATTGGAGGGTCATAATTGTATGTCACTGACCAAGTTCCATAACTCTATCTTGCATTAAGGCTGATTCATATCCCCTTTTCTACTTAGTCTCTTGGTTAATGTTTACATGCAAGTTTTACATATCTCAATGACTATTAAAGATATTTATTTAAAACTTCACATATGCATTTAGGGTTATAATTGTAGGTCACTGACAAAGATCCATAATTCTATCTTGCATTTAGGCTGATTTTTCTCCCCTTTTTCAACTTAGAAATTCATGGTAAAGTTTTGTTTGTAAGCTGTTATCTCAATAACTACTGAAGGGTTTGTCACTTTGTGCCTTTTTTGGGACAATTTTATGCATTCATAATAATAAAGCAGTGATTTCTTGATAAAACATCTTAATAACAAGCCTTTGTACCTTGTCTGTCAAATTTATTTTTCATAGGTAATTAGTATTATTATATTCAATAAAACACCCTTGTGACATTACCTTCCGAATAGTCAAGCCAATACTGTATAATTAGACTCTCTCTAAGGCCTATAACATGAATTTATAACAAAAAATTAGCCCTTTTGTGAACTTAAAAAATTTAACATTATCAAGGCTCTTTTACTATCAAGCACTTAGAATAGTCGAGCGTGCTGTCCTTCCGACAGCTCTTGTTTATTGGAACTATAACCAATATTGAACGACACTGCTCAAATCTGACTTTGACACTTCTTTTAAGAAATCCTTACCATTACTTACCCTTAAATATTTGTTTCATCCATCCTGGGAGCTTCACTGAGGTCCAAGGCCACACAACAAAATTTGCAAATTCTTACCCAGGTACTGGGTGGGTGATCACGTGGATCACCGCAAAAGGTGTTTTGCTAATTTAACTTTATATATTTCAATACATGTACATATATATAATAATAAAATATATATATTATAATGAATATATACCAATTTCCTTGTAAATATTTGCCGGTTCAAATGGTATATAACTTTTTATTGTAGCTCTTTTATTCTTGCAGAAACTTTTCAATGCGGCAGTATTTTAATCAACATACGTGTCTCAACTTATGTCTCAGCATATTTATAAGGAAAGTATGAGAGCTTCATTGGAAAAATATGTACCATTTAAATCGGAAAATATTTGGCTTGAATATACATTTATTATTCAAATATTGAAAGATATAACAAAGCATTAAGAGATAATCTGATTTTACCGTAAAAAATGCCACGCGAACACCTACCCTGGATAAACTGGTAAAGAAATATTCTCATATAATTGTGTTCCATTAATAAACCGAGTTGAGCCAAAAACGTTTAAGCAATTTTTGTTTGGGATAATTTTGCACAATTAAAATTACTATTCTAAAAAAAAAGGATGAGGGAATGATTTGAAATTTTGCACAGATTTTGACCTTCATCAAATGGTACTCTTATCTATTAGAAATAAATCCAGACTTTTCATGTCAAAAAGCTTACTGGACTCCATTCAAATGTTCCTCATACCTTTTACTGGGACTGGAGAGTGTGACAGATGTTGCCATTTTATTGTCCCTCAAGAACAGACTCGATCTAACAGAGTTGACGGTTCTAAGTTTTCTTTGCTACTTAAGAGATATTTCTATTTGAATTCGTTTTGACATGTCAAGATCAATGTGGCACCTATAAGAAGTGTGTCCTGTTCTTTTTTCAAATTTTTGTCCTTCAAATAGGTCTTGTTGAAAGGCACATTATGTCTTAGAAATGAATAAATTCCCCTTCTTAAGAAAAAGGGAAAGGTGAGTTTTATAACGTTCTGATATTAATTTAGATAATGTTATATGCTTACACTTAAGGAATAACCCGCTAAATGTGATATTATTTGTTATAAAAACAAATACTAAAATACTAAAAACTATACTTATTGCCAAAGTGCAACAGAATCAAAAGATGTTTCTTTTGATTGACCAACCTTTTGTAAAAAAAAGAACAGGGCATGAAAATAAGCTTTCGACAAATCAAAATAAAAGCATTTTAAGGCATAATGTGTCTTCAAAATAGAAAAGTGTTTTAAGCCGATACTAAGGACGGTGTCTCTCATTACCAAACCGAATCTGTGGATAGGGTATCAGTTTGGTAATTTAATTCTAATATTTCCTATTTATAGTATGTACACTTAATGAAATCCATAACAATTCTATGTCAGAATCGAATACCATTGATTTTTAGTACAACAAAATTTAATAATTTTACATTCTACATTTTGTTTGCACAAATTTCCACATTATACGTGCATGATAGAGTTAATAACTTTTACAGGAGAAACCACAACAAAATCAAATGCAAACACTTCCACGGAGGATTCACTACCTAGCCCTATCAAGAGTTTGACATGGACACCACGTCAAGTTCAAGACACGACTATCCAGCCTTCAACGTCAAAACCACAGAAGCAAAGAGAACTAGACTGGGGACGCATATTTGCGGCTGAGTTGGTAAACAAACCGGCCACAATGTCTGAACCTTCTCTGCCGGATATAATAGTTCCTAATATTCCCCCAAAAACTCATATTTCGGTTCAACCAATCAAAAGCTTCGTTTCAACAACACTTAAGTACAATATTCCTGATTGGGCAATGTCAAAAGTTAAGGAGACCACCACGCCCCTATATCAGCCACGTGTTTCTACAATACCATACTGGTTTTATTGGTATAACACAACCTATCAACCAACAACGTCACGAACCCCTTGTGTAGAAGTGGATGACCGTTTTGGTAAGTTGTTTGTATTTGAGTTACCGTTGATCATCAATGTATTAAAATTGAAGGCAGGTCCAGAAAAAAACAGGATCAATGACAAAATTTTGAAAATTTATTTTTTTATAAATCATTGCTAGGAATACAGGCGGTTCAATATTGTTTGAATGCCATGCATTATAATGATGAAACATTAAGTCTTAGTCAAAATAAATAAGCCAAGCTGATATTCAAAATTACATGTATAAAATAGTTAAAAACGATGCCTTATTACAATCTACGTGTCAATAATAAATTTGTTCTATGATTGGAAGAGCATAAATAGCAAAGTAGCTATGAATTCTCAGGCATTATACCAACATTTCAAAACAGGCGTTTCCATAATTACCATTACAAAATGCAGAACAAAACATTTTTGAACTTTTGAATATATCAAATGACAAATGTTTGTTTTGAAATTTGAAATTCATTACAAAATTTGCAACAAATGGCCATGTATGTATTATATGATATAAGTTATTAAATCCGATCTCTGTGAAATTGAGTCATGAAAGATGAGCTTTTTTGAGATAAAAGTAGATCTATGGCATGTTATTTGAATTCTCACACAATCAATGTCATAAAATGATTCAAACGCTCTGTTTTCCAATGCCTAATAAGAACTTTATTGAAGAAAAATTAAACGCAGCATGATTATTTGATTAGTTAACTTGTATTCGCTTAAATGGTTGCTTGTTGTTTTTGTAAATGCAATATGATATATTATTGATTATCTGTTTGGTTCGTTCAGTTGTATTAGCTTTAAATGAATGAATGCAATATTTGTAAGAGTAAAGCTTTCAGAATGATAATTCAAGGTTACGATACTCTCATACTAGTATTGAAATTTTGCTTTTCCGTTTTCAGAATTTTGCCGCAAGCGTTATCGTGGTTATTACCGCCACCCAAACGACTGCAAGCAGTATATTGTATGTGAATGGGGATTTATGCATATATGTACATGTCCAGAGTTAACTCACTGGGATCTTCGAGCTCTAACGTGCGTTTGGGAGAACACTTCACCGTGCATAACAGGAACTTATGATAAACTGATAATAGCTGACCAAATTACAATGCCAATACCCCCGATTATGGCACCGTCACCATCAACATCACTTCCTACAACGACGCAGATATCAACGACAACATCAGATTTGTCTTCTTCATTGCCAAATATTGTACCACCGCTTGTTAGACTGCGCGCCCTACCTGCAACACCGGCTTGGCTGAAAGAACTCACTGCAAAATCTTTTTCTTACCAAAATGAGCCGCAAACACCACGTTATCAGTCGCTCTTGACAAGATTCTTCAAAGCAATGCCACATAGTACAGCCAATGAGAACATAAGACTAAGTTAATTAGACTTATTTAAAGATTATATGTACATATAAGTTACAGTTTATTTAAAGCTTACAAAGTTGACTTGGCTAGTGTTGTTTCTCCTCCACTTATACGAGGAGATTATTATTGTACAGCGGGATGTTCATGAAAATGTTCAACTAGGGACATTGCGTTCAGAGATTGATTAACATTACAGACATACGTTATCTACAATGATATTAATGTTATGGAATGTTTATTTTGAAATGGAAAGATTCAATAAACTGCATTTTCAATAAACTGCATTTTTTCATAATATTGTTGATAGCAGCATGCCTCCAGAATAATGCTAATTTTCATGAAAGTTTTTTAATGAATTGCAAATTAAAATATTGTGAAGTGAACAAATGGCACTTATGACTTTGAATATGAAACTACCCATAGGGATAAAAATATTTGCATTTAAGAAGACTTGCTAAACATTTTTCTTTCATACAAGTATTCTTTTTCAAAATTTAAATCGCAAACACATTTATAAAGATATATAGCTTTATACACCTACAGAAGTGGCAAAATTATTTCATATTTTCTATTATAGTTGTGTTTTATAGCTCGTGACTCGACAATATTCAAACAGACCTTATACACATTTCGTCATTAATTCGAATTGTAGCAGTTGCCTCCCTTAGACGCAAAGTTGGTGTCAACAATGTTATTATGTCATTAAAAAATACGCAGGCCTCAAGGTTATGAATCTTTGCTAAAGTTACGTCTCAAATCTAAGGATTATCAATGATAAGTGTACATTCTATGTTAATTCTTTACTTACTAAGTACTGGGGATTTGAGTTAGATCTTAGACAATTACTGTTTAGCCTCATACGCAGACTTACAATTATCTCTGAACACATGCAACAATATCTGAACTAGGAAACTCTTAGTATCCGACCCGAGTTGCAAACAAAGTGTGCGCTTGATTATAGTGAAAGTCTGTATACTTATTTAGGTAAAATATTTGTATATTTGGTATCGAAATTTGCGGAAATGTATTGGCTACACTGTGGTTTATATTTAATTGAAATTTGATTTTTAACAAAACTTCGATAACAACTGAGGGATGAAAAGAAAAGTTGCAGAATTGTGCTTTTTATCAATTCGGTTTTTTCCTTTGGATACTTGATTTTTATTCGAACATCGTTCAAACTCAATTCCATAAAACGTTCTATTAACGTCCATTCAGTCTCAAACATTTTACTTGATTCATAAGCGAGATGGAAGCAATAGATGATTTTGAACAAGATAAAACGCGTAAAGCTTATATTTTCACCCTATCGTTATGTACACGAAACAAAAATCTGATATTAATCAAATTTCAATACAAAGTAAACCACTGTGTGGTCAATACATTTAAATTTCTCACATTTGCCTATATTTTGCAGAATTCTCAAGAAATCATAGTTTTATTTTTCAACTGATTTAATTATTTTACAAGTACTGGAGAGTTCGCTTTCAGAAAACTCAAATATGTCAGTTTCTTCCTTGCGAATGGCCAGTGAGATTTCCCGGTTATTAAATATGGGTTTGCTGTTGGGCAAGCGGGCGGTTGAAAACATTTTTCTGTTCGCAACTTCTAATTCATTCTCAAGCGCTTTTCACAAAACTTTTAAAGAAGCATCATCATCAATATTGTCATCAATATTGTCGGTGTTTGGCAAATATTTTGGCAGAATTATGGCTCTTTGATTTTTTACATATATAATACATAGGGAAATCTTCTTTGAATTTAGAATCTACTCAAGATATTATAATATTTTGGAATTTTATGCATATCTTTGTTATACATCAAATGATATCACTGAACAATTCCATAACACTGACCAACATTTTGACAGGAATTTGGCATTTTTCAGGCTAAAAGTTTAAGTTATAGAGGTAAATCACTGTCACTGATAGCTAGGGTTTTTGATTTCTGACTTCTTCTACATTAATACAATATATAAATGCAGAATAAATGATGTATGTAAATAGTAAATAGTAAGCAAGTAAACGTACAAAGTAAACAAAACGACAGAGGTCCACATAAGATACCACTATAATTTAATAAATATATTAGTATTATATATAGTGTTAATTTGTTCTTAAGTTTATTGTTCGTAATAATATGCATCAAATTAGATACAGTTAACATTTCAAATCTGTAGAAACATAAAACATACAAATTAATACTCATGTATATATTATATATGTTAAAAATCATAATTCGACAAAATATGCTCGAATTGCAAAATGCTGGCAATATGCAATAGGGCACTTGATGACGAAGCTTCTGTGAAACATGAAACACTAAACACCACTTTTCGTCGCATTGCGGTGTTTCTTGTCCAGTTCTTCGCTGTGAATGTCACAGGAAGTCTAGGTCAGAATAGACAGTCTACGGCCAAAAAAGGCAATTGCTTCGAGAATCATAGAATCCCGGAGTATACGTAATGTACCGACGCACGTAATACGTTTCTCTTCAGAAAACATACTCATAACTGTTGAAATTTACAGGCCCCGTGTTCACTAAGATTAATGAATCAAGAGGATCAAGGTCAGGATCAAATTTAAAGAAAACCAACTATTCTCTATTGTTTTATCCTCATAGATTAAGTATTTCATATTAACCTGACAAAATTGGACTTGAAATAGCACATTTTAGAAAATTTAGATTATATTAATTGCTATATTACAACATATGGGCATTTCACTGTTGATCGAAATATTGATCCCGATTCTAAAATTGATTTTTATTTTGATCCGATTATTTTTACTTTGTTTTGTAATTCGTCTATTTTATCCAAAAATATGATGTTTTTTTGTTGTTTTTGTTTTTTAGCCATTGTTTTACATTTTGTAACATTTAATTCTAGCAAACTAGCAAAATACAATAAATTTTGGGTTTATTAAACACTGAAAACAAAATCAGGATCATTTGTTTTGGATTCTGATCTTTTCTTAGTGAACACGGGACCAGAGGACGTTCTAAAAACTGTGTAGGCATATATTTCACAATATCATTTGCAAACAGCGAAAAAAAGGGAAAGAAGAAAAAGAAAATACATTAATACATATATATTATCAGGCTGATTTTTTTCTTTATTTATGTATTATACTAGTATTAATATAGATATAACTGTAATGTGACAAGCAACAAACGTCTTCATAAAGTGTGATATTGGATCATCCGCATGATGCCCTATCTAATAGTGATGAATAGGTATAATTGAAGTATATAACATATATTGTCATAGTCTTGTAGCAGCCATTACGATAACATGTTTTTACGAAAATAAAACTGTCAATAAAACTTAACACGGGTTACCAAAACTGAATGTTCTGTCTTTGAAGATGGACAGTAACAATTTTGATGATATGTATAAAATATTTTTCTATGCATATTTCGAATAATCATCTTATTGTGAAGGTTCTCTTTACGGAAGCATAAATAGACCACCACTTTACGATATATTTCATGAAAACATTCATGATAACTATTTTAAGTTTTCACGAAACAAGGTATGATTTTCACGAAAGAAAGACAAATATCATATTTAACAAGAAAGTTTGCATGTTAGCGCATTAAAAACGGACACATTTTCGGGAAAATAATTCTTTTTACGTGTTTAGTTAATAATTTGTTTCATGAAATATTCCTAATCATCTGATTTCACGAAAATCTATTATTTCCCCGAAATTGTTTCATAAACACTCTATTCGAAAGTACAATTAACTTAACAACGATAACTTCACATAATGCGTGATAAATAACTAGCTTCTGTGGTCTACTTTATTGTCCTGTATTATGATATATTAAGTAAGAAACCTCTGTTAAAATTGTCACGAAAGTTTGCATGAAAATTTATTAAGTTATGGCGTATTTATGACTTCGTATTGTAAAATTTCTGGTACGTACATATAACTGAATTGCTAGTTGAATGTGGAACTCATTCCGAAATGGCCGCTTTGTGAGCCGCGAGGTAGTTCAAAATGAATGGCTACCGATTTCTATCCGCCTGGCGCCTGGCATAGTGGTAGGAGTTGGGAGGTACATGGTATGCAAGCAAAAGGTGTCTCATAAGCCAGAAATGGCTGGCCCTTTCAGTAGGGGTGACACTATAATAAACAAGATTTTTTTTAATGCGTTTATTTAAGGTCGCCGCCGGAAAGCCCATAAGGGCGACCGTACACTCAAGTCGGGCCATCCTAGAGCGTCCCGCCGAGATTTTTTCATAAACAAGACCTTTACCTTTTACCTTTTATAACTACTGACAATCGCAACTTTTCGGTCTTTTTCCGCCATACTTCGGTAAAGAAGTATGGGTAATCGGAGAGGTGTTCCGAATACGACACTAGCGGGATAAAATCATTAAGTTTTCTTGATTATCATCATATCAGAATATAATTACAAAAAATGGTCAAATGTAAATATCATATATTTATTTGTACATAACTATTCTTTGTAAAAATACATCTTACTTTTTTGCAAAATTCGAAACAAACTACACAAATTTGAAAGCAAAATAATTGGTCACATAATAACTGGGTTTTAAAGACTTGAAACTTTTACATTTATCTGGTACAGAAAACTATAGAATGTGAAGTCTGAACAAACCAAAAATTATCTTGTTTTCTAACAGACAACAGAACCCTCTGTTGGTGTTTCGATGATGCCATATCATTGCAATTTTGTTAAAAAATAACATATACTTATTTTGGTTCGACATATCACTTGTAGAAATACTTTTCCTTTTAAAATGTACAACACACAATGGAATAATTAAATATTTCCCCAGGTGACATATGCACGAATTTCCTCATTACAAACTTTTTAATACTAGCGACACTGACTCAAAGGGATTATGCAAAGACACGTGTACAATAAAATGAAAAATAACCCCTTTAGTATAAGGACAATCAAATCTGGATGATGTTTCCATTTTTTTCACTATATGTATTTGTAAAGTCACACAATCAGAAGCACTAAACTGTTTATCACGTGATTAAATTTTCACCAACTGACACGTGATCAAATTATCTTCAAGTGACAAGAAATCCACCGTTGGCAAATGGAAAAAAAACTGTTTAACATGTCCTTTACACGTGACAAGATAATCACAAAGTGGCGCGTGGTAAAACTATTCAAAATTCATTTACACGTGACAAGATGATCCCAGTTACATACTTTTATATTATCGTCAAACATAGTGCTGGATGGGCAAGCACAGTTATGTAAAATTCCCCATATACAAACGTAAAAAGAGCGACAATCTGCTGGGTTTTTATAATGGCCGGAATTTCTTGACTGGCAAAATCCTGAAACAAGGGAAGTAAGTTGAAATATTTTGAACATTTGGAAAAAGTAGTTTGTAATTTGGATTAGAAGTCAATGTATTGAAATAAGTATTTTCAGAAATTTTATTGCTGTTGCATGTTTTTGATAATTAACATTCACACAGTGTTGTAAATGAGAAATGAAATAATTATTCATAAAAATCATTTATATGATGTTAGAAATCAGCAATAATATGTTTGTTTTACTGATTTTTACGCCAGTTTTGATCATATCCCGGCGCTCAATACATCTAACAGCCTTTTCTGGATAACTAACCAGTAAATTCCAATTTATCTGATAGGGATCGGCTGCTTATCTCACGTGATTTCTGAATTAGCGGCAAGAGACAAATGCGCATTAGAGTCTATGTCCCAGATCCTTTCGCCTCGCCCGAAGATCGAAAAGTGACCACGAGATTAATATGATTGTTCATATAAAAAAATTTTAATGAAAAGAATTATTGCACGCTATGATATAAACATGTCAAGGTTGAAGCTTACCATGGTTAAAGCATGACCAAAAATAACAAAAACCTATAAAATGTCAGAATTCTTGCATCAGTTAAGTGAAAGGTTGAAGTCATTTCACATAAGAAATAAACACAAAGAAAAAGTAGCAAAGATTTCTATGATCCACAAGACAGGCATTTACAAAAAAAGCGATTATAGTAGAAAAGAACTAGTACCTGTATTATCTTGCATTTGGTAGCACTGGTCAAGACTTGACACCGCCGTAGGGGTAGGCGTTTGTTGTGTGACGAAGACGGTAGGCGCAGCTGTTGGTTGAACTTGTTCCCACCAGTTTGATATCATGTCTGAGGGAAGGACCCGACTTTGGCCCTGGTTCCAGTAGAAGTTTGTTGATGGTTGAGTTTGGAGACTACCGATCGAAGTGGGAACAGCAACTGTTACCGGTGGGAGTGTTGTTGGTTGGACATCTCCTGTTTTCCAAAATGTTTGAATTATACTTGTAACAGGTAATCGAGGTGTTATTGTAGTTTGGCTCTGAATCATGGGAGTAGCAGGGCTTGGTTTAGATTCATCATAAACTGTCTTTACATCTTGTTTGTTTTGTAAAGCAATTACTGGGGGTTGTAAAGTACCAAGAGGCAACACAGTCCGACTTGTTGTTGTATCAAAGCCTTTTGAAACTAGGTTATACTTTGTTGAAGGTTTAATAAGCAATGGCTCTGTTACTTTTTCAGGCTGTGTGGCGATACTAAAATTTCCAGGTTTTTGTAAACCTCCCTTTGTGTTAAATATTTTAAATATTTCTAAAGGTCCTTGACTATTCGTTTTAACTTTTGATGAAGGGTTTTCCGTTCTCAATATGAAAGGTTTAGGTGTCGAAGTACTAAATGATGCAATATATGTTTTTGTTGAAGGTTTCGCCGTTTTAATTTTGTATGGTTTTACCGTTGAAGGGTTCCATTGTGGAGTTTGTGTTTTTGGTGTAGTTTCTTGCGTTTTAACATTTCCAGCTTTCGGTTTAACTGTTGTATGGATATTATAAGATATAAAAGCCTTTGTTGTAGGTTTATCATCTGATTCTACAGCAAGTTTGCCATTAGGATCTACAATTGAATCTGTTGGTACTCTTGACCTAACTTCGCGCGTCGGTCGAATTTGTGGAGTTGAAGGCATTATTCTACCAAAACTACTTGAAGGAAGTAGAAAAGGTGTAGTGAATGTGCCCACCCCAAAATTCTCCATGTGTTGATTTACTGCAGTATTTTGTACGTGTATATCAGGACTTAGGGGGTCGTATATGTTATTGAGTATGTCTTGGTTTGGGTTGAATGGTGACACAGTGGCTACATGGGTGACTGGCATACCTCCGGCTCCAAACATTGCATCCCAGGAAAATGCACTTGTTGTTGGATTAAACCAAGAATTGTCAATCAAGGATGGTTGAGTTGTGTAACCAAACAAGTTGTCTAACGAGAACGGAGACAATGTGGTTTGCTGCCACCATGGAGAAATAGTAGCAGTATTACCGGGAATATGTGGAACAGTTGCAGGCTGTACAACATTAGACTGTTTTACTGGCTGCGGAATAACAGGAGGCTTATTTACAGAAGATGGCGTTGTGATTTCAGGTTTTCTAACCTGAGGTAGATTAAACAGAGGCTGTATACTTTGATGTCGAACTTTCGGAGTTTGTAAATGTTTAGATTCTAAATCCTGTGATCGAATATTTTGAGATGGTACATTTTGAGATTGTAAAATTTGTGGATAGTGCTCGATATGTGTCCTCGTTGTTGGTTGAATGGAAAAAATTGGTGACTTTGTTGTTGGTTGCATACGAAAGCCTTCTGTCCTTTTTGTCGTTGGTGGTTGCACAGCAAATGTGGGACTTTTTGTTGCTTGTATACCAAAGCCAGAACTTTCCGTTTTAGTATTGTGTACCATATTTGTTCCTGCTCGAGCCAGATTTAATTCTTTCATTACTAGTTTTGATCGTGCATTTGATGAGTCTAATGCTTTCCTAACAAGAGCGTTCAACTTTCCTAACATTATTCTTACTTCATTTTCGGGATTAATTTGTAAGGATGAGGTTGCCACTCTATCTTTTAATGTTCCCATCACTTTACTTTGCTTCTTAACAATGGAAACAGCAATACTATCGTCTCTATTTACTGCCGGTGTATTGTTACTTTGAATATCTTTATTATTTGAGTTATTATATGTTTCAAAGCCAAGTATACTGGTTTCACGCAACGTGTAACCAGAATCTGATTTGTCTGGTAGAGATTCCTTTGTTTCAATTACATCATAATTCAATCTTTCTTTTTCTTTCTCTTTCATTTTTGTCTCTAGACTAGGATAAATAAAATCGGAACTCGTTAAATTTCCAGATAGCAGAGACACATTCGAATTTGAGTAATTTGCAAGCAACTTTCCAACAAGCATATTGACCTCAGAAATATCCGATTTTAAAGTAGGTTCCGATACATTTGAACTTATATCATTGCCGTTATCATTCTTTAAAACGTTCTTTACAAATTCTGACGTTTTTACATATGTTTGACCGTTATCATCCGCATTTTCATATTTAGGTCCCTGCAGTCCCCTGAATTTATTCCAATTAAGTAATGAATCGTCATTTGTAAAGCTCACATTCATATTATCGCTCAGCAGTTCCCTTTCCCGAGCAGTTGATATCACTTTCTTTGGAAGAGGAGCAGGTGTCTCTGATTCGGTAACTGTCTTTGCATATTCCGTTGAAATTGTTACACCAAAATCTGCGGTAGCCAAAAACAAGGGTAGATCTGTTGTAACCGACATAATGTCAGAACTATTTGGTGATGTCATCTTTTTATCTAAGTGTTTATTTGATTGATTAAAATTTGCATATATTGTTGAATTTGTTTCTAATGGCAAATTTGGTGTTGTCGTCGTAGATGTTTTGATTTTTTGCGTTGACACTTCAGTTATATTTGTAACATTTGAATGTACGTTTTCTCTTAAGGTTTCAGTTTCAACATTTACGTTAACACTTATTTCACCACTTCCTGTTACAAAACTTGAATTATTTGTTTCGTTTCCAGTAATGGTGTAATGCAATGGTGTCATATCTTCTACAAATGATACATTTTCAGAATTATTTCTATCAGAAGTAGTTTTGTGATATGCTGCCGAAGTAGTTGTATCGGAGTCATTTAAAGTGGATATTCGCGGTGCAATCGGAGTAACAATTTCTTGTTGGTTTAGCTTGGTAACAATTTGTTGGTGAGGTGTTGTAAAAAACACAGTTTGTTTTACAGTTCCTGGAGTAACTGTGTCCGTAGTGCTAGTTAGTTCATCGTTTGTTGTCATCTCTTCAGAGGTTGCTGGCTCTGTGGTCATTGTAGTTGTTTGATCTCTCATTTCAGTAGTTGTTTTGTTTTGCATTAGTGTTGTTATCTTACCTTTACTTTTTGTTGCTATTTCGTGTAATGTTGTAGTAGTAATTATGCCTTTATTTTCGCTCTTTGCTGCTTCCATTATTGCACTTGTAGCTTGCTTTAAACTCTCAGTTGTGGCTTCTTCTTTTCCATTTATAGTATCCTGTGCATTAGAGATTGATGTTGTTTGGTCTACAAATCCAGTTGTTGAAGTTTGATAAGGAATATTTGTTGAAGGGTGGTCTTTAGTCATCGGTGATTCTGTTATTGGTGGAACGGCTGTGCGTCGCCATGGTGGCGTTTGAGAAGGCTTATATACAGGTGTCGTTGTTTTGTACACCTTTACCCATTGTTTCGTAGGAGGAGTAATGGTATACACCTCCCCTCTTTCCTCGGCTCTCAGTTTATTTAGAAGCATCTTCCAAATTGGCATTTCTGTGGTTGTTGTTGTTGGCTTTGTAGTGATTCCAAGGCTTTCTTTTAATTTTATCAAAAGTTGCAACCAAGCAGGAGTTTCTGTGGTTGTGATCGGGGAGGAGGTAACCGGTTCGAAACAGTTACGATCTGGGAAACGGTAACTAAGTTCCACCTTTTCACGTCTAAGTTGTGCCTTTAAAACCGCTAGTATTGTTGGAACGAAAACGGGTGGCTTTTCATATGACAGTAATCTTTTATCTGTTTCGTTGCCTGAAAGTGAAAAACAAGATTATAACAATATGTATAATGTAAGTATGGCTATTTAAAGTTTGTTTGTTTGTTTGTTACGTCACACCAACACAGTATAGGTCATACAACGTTCCAGCTTACCGGCGGAGGAGGACTTCAGGTGCCCTTCCGTGCATTATTTCAGGTACTAACGGGCAACTGGGTAGAACCACCGACGTTCCGTAAGCTTGGTGGATGTCTTTTAATAAGTAATAATGCGTTATTATATAGAAGATATAGTAAGTTCCAAACGTGTTTGACCGGATGTATTGTGAATTAGATTTTCGGCAAAATATATTGAAATATATTACAAAATAAAAAATAATCAACAATCAACTGTGTAATGTTTTCTGATACATATGGACTCAAATTGCATGGTATCGATTCATTTATGTGGATATCAAGATATAAATTGTAAACTGTACGGGTACACAAAATGATCATATTAGTTTGTTTTTTCATTTATCCAAAACAAAATATATGCATATCAAAGCTGTAATACTATTCTACGGTAATAAATCATTTTATTTTAGAATGTAACGAAATATACAACTGTACATGTAGATGATATAAGAAATAAATTTTTAGTTGAAAATTAATGAACAAACTCGTAGTGATAAGAGTTATGCATATGATGAAAGCTTATATCATTGAACAACTATACGTCGTTATATGTTCCATGTAAAGGTTGTTAACTTTTTTATATATTCATCAATTTCAATAGCAATTTTCAAAGGTGGAAAAACCAAGCATTTACACATTTGTTATATACACATATCAATCCCTTCTTCTAGATCTAAGCAACATGAAAGTATAAAACAATACTTACTACACCCAAGTTCGTCAGACAAATCATAACATGTTGGTTTACCATCACATCTTACACAGTCAATTGGACAAAGCTCATTTTGGCAACAGTGGTATTCAGATGACACTAAAATAAAATGTCAAAATTAAGTTGGAAATAATCAGCAACATTTTATTCACTATATAATCTATTATCTTCAAAATACAAAGACGATATTCAAGTTTTTATGCCCCCCTTCGAAGAAGAGGGGGTATATTGTTTTGCTAGTGTCGGTCTGTCTGTCTGTCGGTCCGTCGGTCTGTCGGTCTGTCCGTCGGTAGACCACATGGTTTCCGCTGATTATCTTGAAAAGTCTTTATTACAAAGTCTTCATATTTCACATAGTGATTGGTCATAACTAGTAGATGACCCCTATTGATTTTGGGGTCACTAGGTCAAAGGTCAAGGTCACAGGGGCCTTAAATGTCAAAATGGTTTCCGCTGATTATCTTGAAAAGTATTCATCACAAAGTCTTCATATTTCACATAGTTATTGGTCATAACTAGTAGATGACCCCTATTGATTTTGGGGTCACTAGGTCAAAGGTCAAGGTCACAGGGACCTAAAATGTCAAAATGGTTTGCGCTGATTATCTTGAAAAGTATTCATCACAAAGTCTTCATATTTCACATAGTGATTGGTCATAACTAGTAGATGACCCCTATTGATTTTGGGGTCACTAGGTCAAAGGTCAAGGTCACAGGGGCCTTAAATGTCAAAATGGTTTCCGCTGATTATCTTGAAAAGTATTCATCACAAAGTCTTCATATTTCACATAGTGATTGGTCATAACTAGTAGATGACCCCTATTGATTTTGGGGTCACTAGGTCAAAGGTCAAGGTCACAGGGGCCTTAAATGTCAAAATGGTTTCCGCTGATTATCTTGAAAAGTATTCATCACAAAGTCTTCATATTTCACATAGTGATTGGTCATATCTAGTAGATGACCCCTATTGATTTTGGGGTCACTAGGTCCAAGGTCAAGGTCACAGGGGCCTTAAATGTCAAAATGGTTTCCGCTGATTATCTTGAAAAGTATTCATCACAAAGTCTTCATATTTTACTAGATCAAAGGTCACAGGGGCCTTAAGTGTCAGAATGGTTTCTGCATATTATCTTGAAGATTTTTTATCACAAGTAAGTGAACCTATTTATTTTGGGGTGAGTAAGTCAAAGATAAAGTTCACAGGGTTCTTGAATGTCAGTTTGGTTTCCGCTTATTATCTTGAAAACTATTTATCACAAAGTCTTCATATTTGTAGTATTGATTGGTAATACCTATTAGATGACCCCTATCGATTTTGGGTCACTAGTTCAAAGTTCTAGGTCACAGGGGCCTTTAATATCTTATTATCTTTTAAACTATTCATCACAAAGTCTTCATTTTTTTCTTTTTTCCATAATTGAACACTTCCATGTACCCAACTTGGCAAGTTTCTGTAACAAAATTACCAATTATGTGAGTCAATGGCTAGAAAGGGGGGTATATGTGTCGTTCAACATTCTTGTTTTTCTATAAATATAGTATTTATTTTCATCGAGTGGTATCAAAATTAATATTTCACGAGTGGCAGTAGCCACGAGTGAAATATTGATAATTTCCATACCGCAAGTGAAATAAATCATGTAAGAAAACTTTAATTTTGTGTTTATTATATACTTTTCTTCTATTATAACGTTATGATTAGAAAGAATTTACTTATAATTTTGAGCACTGGCTGAATTTAGAAGAATGTAATCCGGCAAGGCACCAGTGAAAATACGGAAAATATCATTCACTGCACTGAAAAATAAGTTTTTACAGTGAAAATACAGAAAATGAAAATACGGAATATATGACAGCTAACCACAAAGATATCAGTCAATGTTCAAAAGGGTATACAGTAAAGCTTTATTTCATGGATCCCGAATGATGTTATCTATATGCAATATTCTTACAGTGCTTTCTCGAAAAAGCTGTTATATATAATGTATATGTTATATAACAAACATGGATATTGTACATAAACAAAATAAATAGTCCATGAACAAAATATTATGTTGCTATTTTAGTAGTGACTTAACTGTTAAGCAATAATTTACAGTATGCGCTATTCGCTCTTGTTGAAATATACAAACACTTAACTTTCTTAAAAGCAGTTTGGAATTACATATTTTCTTTTTTCAGAACAAAAAATAATGAGCTACTGCCACCAGATGCACATGTATAGATTTATGCGCTTCTTGTTAATAAAGCGTCTGTTTAGCGTCCCATTATTGCTACCGGTATCTTGCATTTTGACTAACATAAGAAAGTACGTATTTAAAGAGAAAATCGCGATGCAAAGACGCTAAACACTGTACAATATATAGAGGATATTTGTTTGTGTGTGTGTCAGATGAAATTTTATTTCATTGAGTGGGCTTTAAAACAGTATTCTCGCCCGTGGCCACGCCACTCGTGAGAATACTGTTTTTAAAGTTCTCGAGATGAAATGATATTACATCTTACACAACAAACAAACATTTTTTTTTTATTTTATGCTTAAAATCAAGTTAAAACGAAATTTCCTTAATATAAACGTTAATATTAAAATCTGTTTTCCCCATTGAGAGCCTCATTTAGTCGAATTTCTCATTACATACAAGCGGTCTTTTGTTAAATAATAAGTTCGACAATCAACGTTAAATGGTGGTGATATTATTCATTTTATTAAAAAATATATGAATGATTGCTTGTTTTAATAATAAAAACAAACGATTCCAGTAGGAGAAAAAGTCCAACCATCCATCCATATTCTGTTACTTATCGCGAATTTATATTAGACCTGGCTTTGTTAAATGTAAGCGGCCGCCATTCTCAAAAGTTGTGTATTTAACGGGAAGAAAATAATTGTGTTTGATTCAGAGGGATATCATTTGGATTTGTTAGTCATACACCTTTTTGAAAGATAAAAAACTTATATGAGGATTGTAACAGACAATAAATAAGTGTTGACAGAAGTGTAAACATTCAAAAAGCGGCTTGGAAATTGGAAAACTTGGAAAGTTGAATGGTGCCTAACGAACGCTGGGTTATTGACTTATTCTTCGGGCTGATGGCTGTCATTGCTTTTCAAGTTTTCATGAAACATACGGCAGTTATTGCTTGTAGGATACTTAAATATGCCCAAATGTCATCAAGAGCAGTTTTGCATGTGGAAGGAATGTATTTTTCAGACTGTAAAAATGAAACAAAAAAATTAAGAGACGATATTTGGTGATTGGTAATTGTATTTTGAATGAAAAGAAGTAAGTTTTCTTCTTTTTATTACTTTGACAAGTTATTGATCAATTTCAGCTTTGCTTTTCTCTGAATAGCCTGACATTATCAGAATTGTCAGCAAAAATAAAATTGAAGTACCGCATGGGGAAAATCATAAGAAAGTAGTTTCGTCATTGAATAGTGTGAAATTATATTTTGATAATTTTCACTGTGAAATTATCGAATATAATTTTCAGGGATAAATCAGTAATCCACTGAAAAGCATAAAATAAAACGATGTTATTCAATAGGAAGGATCGTACATTTGAAAGTTCACATCATCTTATCATATTTACAATCCAGGCACCTTTTTTCACATCACAATTTTTTGACAGAACTTTGTTGCTTCATTTACAATAGGGATTTGATGTGGATTTTGAACTCTCAAAAAATAAAAACGAGTCTAGATGGGGTGACATATGGGGATTTGATATGAAATATGAACCTTTTTGGACTTTAAAAATGAAAATGATAAAGGATGTCATATAGATTCGATATGAACATTTTAGGACTCTGGGAATGAAAAAGAGGCTAAACTGATGACATTGCATTCATTAGTGATTTCTATTGGAACATCACAGGTGGCAAAAACTTGAGCCCTAATATACGAGACTTGCCGTTTTATATACGGAGAGACTTGCGTCCTAATATACGGATAGACTTGCTGTTTAATATACGAAGAGATTTGCGTCCTAAATATACGGAGGGCATTGCGTCCTAATAAATGTCCTAATATACGGAGAGACGTGTGTCCTAAGAAGAATTATAGAAAAAAAAATCGTCCTAATAAAATTATATAAAGAGATAGGCGTCCTTAAAATAAATATACAAATAGATTCACTTTTATGGTAGAGCATTTTAAAATTCATTTTTGCAACCTGGTATTTAAGAAGTCAAGAAGACCTTTTTCTTCGTATTTAAATACATCAAATGAAAAGATTGTTAAAGAAATATTTAAAAAAATGTTTGAGTGCTTTGTTAAACAAATATTCGATTACAACATTTTTATGCACCAAGATTTTCAACTTTAGTTTATCATAGTTATTAAATCATAACATGTGTTTTATGTTGGTGGGAATGTTTCAACCTTTCTTTCCCCAAAAATGTTTGCGAAAAAACGTTTGCTTGTTACGAAACAAGAAAAAAGGTAACATTTGGTTTACATAAATATCAAAACTATTTTTGTCCGACTAAAGCATATGGTATACTTAGAAGTTAAGTCAATTAATTATTAATACAATCATCAAACAAGCCAAAAGCATGAAATAATGCATGGACTTATATGAATTATTTCTTTATACAGGTGTTTATAATTTTGTTCGATCTAAATATATCACTGTAACAAGTTCATTAGATGTCCGAGGATAAGTTCAAACATTGTTAAGGATGATTTATGTTTTTCTCCCTCATAAACTAGTACACCTATATAAAACAGTCTCCTCGTCTCAAAAGTAAAGAAAGAATCTAAAAATAAAACATCCGTAAACAAAACAAAACAGTTTATTGCTTTTTATTGTAGTTTCTAGTCTTTTTTAACACCTTGTCAAGAATTATTGCCCTTTGTTTATTGCCGATCTGTAAATTAAACATATATATTTGAGTTAAAATGCCCCTCCCAGAAACGACAAAACCAGACCAACACTTTGATATATGAAACTAGGGTCTTCAAATATAATGGTCTGGAAACGCACTAAGTACATGATGTAAACCCTTCTCGCTACAATTAAGCATGTCTCAGTATTAATTGCTATACGCAAATTATGTAAGTGTTCAAGAAAGGGGCGAAAATTAAATACAAGAGCAAAATTCAAAATTATAACATGAGGGACTTTAAAAGCCTTTAAACTTGTAGAAAAAGATCAATATTTCAGAAGATAATGTTTTTTCGAGCCATGCTCTGTTAAAAACTTAGATTGCTTATTCAGAGTATTTGCCGACAAACGGCGCCATTTTGATCAGTCACCAAATTAACCATCAAATATTTGTAAATAACATATTATAAAATCTTTACATGATACCATTAAATAGATAAATAAAGCTAATGAAACTCGGACATATTTTCAAATATGAGCAGAAGATTTTTACCTTTATAACGGCAACGAAAAAATGCCAAATTTCATTGTAAAATTAATACTTTTTAAATTAAAAACTGATAATGTAATGTAGCCAGTACTAGTTTTTGTAATTTTTTGATCGATTTACAAAAACAACATTATCTTTTAACTTGATTTTTGAACGCTGATATCACGGTTGATAGATAACCTAATCATGTGACTCAGCCGAGACATCTTTTTTCGTAACATTGATCCGACTCCAGACCATTCTATTTGAAAGACGCTGATGAAACTTGCTATTGGCTCACATAGATCAGTTACCGATCTAAATTGCCTTGTAAACTAAGCCTACGTATATTTGCAGCACTGTCATTAATACAGATTTTCACTTACGAACCACATTGCTACATTTGAGCCGCGTCACGACAAAATCAACATAATTCGTTTGCGACCAGTATGGATCCAGACCAGCCTGCACACCCGCGCAGTCTAAGCAGTATCCATGCTGTTCGCTATCAGTTTCTCAACGTGTTATAGGGTTTGTAAGCGAACAGCATGGATCCTGATCAGAATGCGCAGGCTGGTCTGGAACCATGCTGGTCGTAAACGCATTACGTTGGTTTTGTCATGGCGCGGCTCATTTATGTCTTGAATTTGACTACCATATTGGATTTGAAATAGACGTGTAGTTTACCAATAGTAGAACCGGGCAACCAACAGTATATGATATGGTCAATAAGCCTGAATGCCTGGTAAGTCTGGCTGTTCACTAATGCGATAGCTGCTAGCTTCCAAACCGCCTATTTTGATCAGTTCGTGAACGTATAAGGAATCAAATTATTACCTTTTCTCATTTAAATCAGTACGTGAACATTCTAAACATTCTAAACATTCTGAAATATTTTGCAACTGTCAATCTTATGCAGAATATTTAAGGAATTCGCAAGGTTATGCAGAATATTTAAGGAATTCGCAAGTTACCTATGCCTATGTTCAATGTTTAATGACTAAAAGAAAATCTTTTACAAGTGTAAGCTAAATGTTTAATGTGTTATTATAGTTATTAATTTTTTTAAAAATATATATATCAATGATTACATGTTGTCAAAATGAAGGTTAAGATAAATACATTTTTCTGTGCACTAGCTCACTGGATGTTGCAGCATTAAGATAAGATACTCTCTCGCCCTATTGGTAACGCTTAACTTGATTGGCTACTGGTAAGTGATGAAATGATCTTTTTATTTAAAACAAAATGACGTCAATGAAAGAAAGGTTTTGCAAGTTATACATTACGAAAAGCTCAAATCGTACTTCAAAATATTTGCCGGTATCTTTTAATGTTTTCAATAGTTTCAATGAACTTGTCTATCGCCATCACATACTATTATGATACTAATAATATTTAATCATTTACGTCTAGGTTTCCAATAAAAAATTTGACTAATTTGAAAAGATAGAAAAATATATACCTTATATTTTATTCATGATATGGAAAAAACAATATCAAAGTATATGTAATATACATGTACATGCATATGTGATAAGACAAATTTGCCGAACATAATTTCATACATTCTACTTTACATGTATAAAAAAACTATACATTAATGTTTTCTTTCAAATGACAAAAAGAAAACCCGCATCTTAAAAATAGACCACAACAACAACCTTAAAAGATATAACATAACATTAACAATTCCAAAGAGTATCCACTATTTATCTATATATTTTGTTTATAATATATGATTACCTGTGGCTGCGAAATTAGTTAAACAAAATATTACGAATGAAATTTTTATCGTCATCATCTTTTTCCCAGTGTCAGTATCCACTTTCACGATATTAATTAATCAATTGTTGAAGATAAATCTTATAATCCAGGGTATGGAATAATCCCATTAGTATCCATCATAGTTTTAGACACAACCTATCAATTACAGATACATTCTTACTGTCCTGTAAAAAACCCATCTCCTCTCGTCGTTAAACAAAGTAGATGACTCGCTTGTCAAGGTGCGACCGGGGTCCAACCGCTTTTTATATGTGTCAAATATGATTTTTGAATGATATTTGGTAATATGTGCTTATTTTGTGTTCGGCCGGGATCCAAACGCTCTTTTTGTATGTGGCAAATATGATTTTCATGATATTTGATAATATGTGCTTATTTTTTGTGTGTTGTGTTTTTTTTGTTTTTTTGTTGGTTTTTTTTTTTGTTTGTTTTTTGTTTTTGTATATGTATTAACCTTTTACCCCATGAGCATTTTGCGAAAAATGGCCGTTTTCATTGAAAAGCCTCCTGTAAGTTGTAACAAGTTCAAACTGCTATGAAACTATGAAAAATGCTTCAATACTGATGAAACTTGGCACAAATGTTGACTACACCATAGCCTCGTAAATTTCCTGTTACCATGGCAACGGGGGGACGTCTCAAAATTGTCAAAAATCAATATTTTGCATTGTTTTTTTTTTTTCCATCAAAACTGATTTCAAAGTGCTGCAACTTCTCAATGAATTGAGATAGAGTAAAAGGCTTTTCAGCGTCGGTTACTAGTTACCCTAAGATCGACCTGAGGCCATTTTTAGCCTGTCACATGTACAAAATTTTCTTGGCGATGAGGGGGACTCCGCCCCCTTCAAACCCCACAAACAGAAGGGGGTAAACCCCCTTCTGGCAACCCCCTGATGTAACATTGGGACGGGGGACGGCGCCGAAAAATTGGTCACTTTTTTAACAACATTTCTCAAACGAAAACCAGTGTTTGGGGCCTAAATAGGGCATCTTTTTACTGTTTGAAGCCTCAAAAAGGGTGGGGGGCAAAAAGCCGTCGAAACACGCTTATATGAGGGAAAAGGTTAATAAATTTCGTTGTTTTACTTTCATTATACCGATATCTGAGATATAAATTTATAAATATATACAAGATTTGACACAAATAAGTTTAAACGAAATATAAATTAATAAACGTATTCTTATACTTAAAAAAACACATAAAAGATTAACAAAAAGGTTGACCTGATAATTAATGATTGAATTTACTGTGTATTCTCCTTGAATGTAATATTATGCTAGGTTATCACACATAAGCAGTTCGCTTCTTAACGGTATAAAAAGAAACAAAATGATTAATTTTAAAGGCACATCATGTCTCAGAAATGAATAAATATTAACGTCTTTAGAAAGATCAAGCATTAATTTCATAATGGTTTTAGAGAGCATGTTAGATATGTGTTACCTGAAGAAAATAAATGTAAATTAATGTCACCAAACTAGCAAAATGTATACAAAGTAGTATTTTGACATCGACACAAAATACTAAATCCCAATTAATGCACTAATTGTCAAAAGCAACAGAAGGCGAAGACAGGTAATTGGTCAATGAGTAACATGTTTGAAACTAGAATACAAAAAAAAAGATTTTTTGATGAAATAAAAATCAAAGCATTTCTGAGGCATAATAGGTCTTATAACAAATTTCATTGGAATATAACAAATAAATGAACAAAACCGTAATACAAAAAGACAATGATAATATGTTTAGAATCATAGATTTAGTCTAATGTCAGTATAAAAAATGTATAAAAAATAAGAAGAATAACGTTATAATAATTTTTTTTTAATATGATCAATAAAAGCTTATTGTTAAGATTTTTTCTAATTTATAAAAAATGAACAAAAATCTATCACAGCTTATAGGTATGATCCCATAACTAACCTATGACAGGTTATATGTGTAGTCCCATACCATCCTACATCCTTTAAATGTACAGAAATTGCGCGATATGTAAAAAGCAAAATAAAACATATAATAGCATATATATCATCAGGCCGGGCCTCATATTTCCTTAATGGGTATTGCTAAAAAAGTGCTAAACCAATTACTGTCCGTCACACATTCTCTGTGATAAGGACTATTCATTTTTCATTTATGTGTTGATGAAAGTAACAATAAATGTCCCTCAGTATGTCACTTGGACGTGCATTAAAATAATGACAGATTTAATACTGGACATATCGTTAAAGCGCAAGCATGGGACCATTGCGCTGTAACACATGGCCACTAACTAAAACAGATGTAGTCGTGTCACTGAATGCACTTGACCTTATTTATTTAACGTTATGACCATATGCACATAATGTATTGTATTATTACAAAGAGAACAAAGCATCATGTCAGTATGTCGCGAAAACATGTGATTTATGCGCAAAATTGCGTTAACGTTTTTCATATGAATTATTAGCGAAACAAACGAATAAAATATCTAAGGAAAGGTCAAATGAACAAATGTCATGACAAGTTAAATACATGCTCTACTGGTAGGTGATTTATACAATTTCAAAAAAAGAAGAAAAGAAAGAAAAGAAACTGCTCTACAACTTTAAATACATTTTCATTAACTTTTATGTATGTACATTTCATTTATCAAAATTGAACCGGATTATAAGCTTCTTAGAAAAATATCGAAAAATATAATTTCTTTTTTGAGTAAGCTGGAATAATTAAACATTTATTAAAGAAGTGATAATGCCTTGCATCGAATGCGCCGTCAAAAATCATAATTGAAAAGAAAAACTCACAAAAAACGATAATGTATAAATAAAATTAAGACTACGAAAATACTATTATAAAGTAAATAAGACAAAGATGTAAAAAAATGGGAAATAGGAGATCCCTCTCGTGTCGAGGCATAAATCAAGGACTATGTTTAATTGGATATGTTCATGTCAGAAAGTAATAATTGCAACATCACTAACCCCCTCCCCGGCACCGTCTTATGTCGCATCAATCTTCAACACGTATGTTGATCTGGAATAACGAAAGTAAATTTTCAAAATTGAGATAAATAACGGGTCAACTTTGTAAAATTGCTACAAAAAGTCACAAATTTAAATGTCAAGTTTAAAACAGCAGTTATTTTTAGTTTAAATGATGCATCAATAGATTGTAATTTTAGGATAAAAAGCTATAATTATAAGTACATGTATTAATAAGCAAATATAGCCAAATCGTCGCCCTAATTCCAGAGTGTCGTAACTCCAATTTTGAAAAAAATGAGTGTTTGGTATCAAAATGTTCGTAATTTTTTTCTCTATCTAATGGTAAGAACAACATTACTCTGGTTCTTGCCTGTAACAATATATTGAATGGGTCAGAGTGCTGTAAGTCCATAAATTGTGATAAAAAAACAGTCCATAATATCGTAACTTCTGAACCAATAGTTTGTTAAGATTCTAGTCACGTGATGCTGTTTTGACAAAATGGCAGATTTTTTAAGGTATCAGGAATGACATAATACGTTTTATATTTCTTGATAACATGTAAGTGGTTTGCTTTAGATCTTATCTAATTATCTTTAGATTAATATTTTATTGAACTGTTTCAAACCTTAAAAAGAAATAATAACTACTCTTAACCCTTGAGCTAAATTCAAAGCACCATGCTGTGTTATAAAATTCGGATAGCATGGAAATCGGATAAATTGATACAAACTTTCAATATTCACAAGTATCAGCTGTTAATAACTTGATATGTGATTGATTGATCAATGTTACCATTAAATACGGACAATCAGGTTTTGCATCAGATTGTTTATACTTTTAACTTACAAACAAAACTCATCAAATAGAAACATACTACTGCCATTGTTACATTTTGTACGTTTTGTATGTTTTTCTTAAACTATATAAGACAAATTACCGTACTGGTGCTAAGTGATTCGAATAAAATTTATACATATAACTTTACCACTCATAACTGATGTTGAATTAGGTTAATCATGTTTATTTCATAATTCATAATTTCATAATTTTCATAATTTCAAAATTCTGCACTTTCATATAACGATCACAAAAATATCAAACGCTTGCTGTCCAAGTCATTATGCAATCCAGAGTGGTTAACAATACCCACTGTCATATAGAAAGAAAGACAAAACACTTATAAAATGGCAGAAGTGTTCAGTCCTACATCACTCGTTTGTGTTCTTAAAACTGTACGCCCAAACGTCAAAGACTATATGGTGGGTTGAAGTTGACAATATCCCTATAAAAAAAAGTTTAAAAGCTGAGATCGAGTTGTCTCAGATGCACCATTTAGCGTTGAATAAGAGACGTCATTTGCACAACAAATACTTATTAAACAAAATGCCACCCTGTTGACCTACTCAGCTATTTTGCATAAATCAACAGGGTGTCAGTCTATAGCTTTTTGTCAACATAATCATTTTCAATCTTATGCTAAAATTTCTTATGTAATTGGAACATGCAAAGCAAAATTAATCTAAGTTTCTAAGTTAAACATCTACTTCCAACTCGTAAGGTAATACTACCTGTAATTATCAAGTGATTTGAACCTTTGAACTGAAAATTATCCATTACCAAAACTATTTTTTAAAAAGAAAAACAAATATGCTTAGTTAAAAATTGTCATTCGATTGAAACGTAGAAAAAATGATTTTGTGAAAAAATGTTATAAAGTCTTAAGACCATATAAAACATTAAGGAATCTTTAAATTGTCATATTTGTTTCATCAAACGTTTGTTGAAGTAAAATAGAATTAATATTTGACTGAAACTCTTAGATATTGAGCATTGCTTTTATACGAATGAGTTATTGATGTAAACAGTTCAGTTAAAAACATTAAATGCAAACGTATACTTAATTGTTATTGTATGTAAAGAAGTTGTATGCCACTTGAAATATAAATACATGTAGTAATTGAAGTACAGTAGGTCATTGAAACACCATATCCAGATCTGTAGCATCTTTGAAAATTTGTGAGCTTTGAGTTGTGTTTCCTATTTTTCATGTTTTTTTAAACAAAACATTAAGTAATGCTGTTCTTAGAAAAGTAAAATACATAGGTTTATTCTTTTTCATGTTAAAGAGAAAGGAACTCATTGTTGACGTTGTTTTTCAAAGTTTAAGC